TTTAGGTTCTCTTCATTTATTTGGTTTTACTTCGCTCAAATTGCTTCGTTTACTCAAATGAATTAAGTTCACAGTACTCATTAAGATTAGTTTTTGAACTTAAATAGATTGTTGCAATCAGTTTCCTCAAATGGTTTAAGTTACCCTAATGTTTTGGGTTTTACAGTGTATGTGATCTGAAGCACAGTATAACTCTAAAAGGAGATATTTTAAAAATGACACTAATCAAAATTAGAGAACACCTTCTGATTCTTCTCAGTTATTGATGTAAATCTGGCATAAATTACATAATTATCTGACAAACTTTGTTTAACTGGCAGCTCAACTTTAACATTGCAAGACAGTGAGCCATTCTAAACAAACTGAAAACTTGTTAAAGCCTTTCAGTCATAGCAAGAGAAGATGGTGCTTCTAAATCAGTAATTTCTAGAAAATTGGACTTTTACAATGTCACCAACTCATTCAATTCTCCAGATAAGACTGATCATCCATTAATGAAAAATAGATGAGAGGACGGGATGGGCAATCGGTTCAGGAACTGAACGATGCTTTGAACTTCATGACAATTTTTACATAATTCTGTATTTGAGCAATTCCATGCAAATGTCAGTCCTGCCATGAAAGAAATTAAGTTTTTACCAAGTTGTCTGTGTAGGTTCATATTTTACAGTAATGTTCAAATACTCAAAAACATCTGTCAACGTTTTCATACTATTTTATTATTATTTTTTTTTATTAGCGAAAGTCACACAACTGGCAATTTCACATCGGTCACATCCACAACCAAATTTTCCTTAAAATGCAAAAATGTCATATAAAACAAGATTATTTGTTTTTGTTCTAAAGAGAGACAACTATTATCCATTTGATTAGCAATAGTTCTTTTGGGTTGTCTAGTTATTTACATAATTTCTACAAATGATGTTTCTTTCACTGTAAAATTGTATAGTTTCTTGGTCACATGCATAACGCATGTTTATTTATCTCATTTAAAGTATAAAATGTGTTTACAGATTGTATTTATTTAATCCCTTAACTTTTGGACCAAATAAATGTAGTTGTTAGTTAGATGTTTCAAAAAAATAGCTGTTTTGAAAAATATAAACAGATGTTTCAATATACTCTTAACAAATACATTATCTGTGCATTTATGTTTCATGTTTTCACCGCAAATGCCTCATCTATAATGCTGGAATTAGTCTTTTTTTTTATCACAGCTTATTTAAATACTTAAAATACAACAATTTTTAATAAATTGCATATATTTGATAATCAGTTGGCGACACGGTGGCGCAGTGCTGTCAGCTGGCCTCAGCTAGGTGAGTTGACATTTCTGTGTGGAGTTTGCATGTTCTACTCACGTTCGTGTGGGTTTCCTCCGGGTGCTCCGGTTTCCCCCACAGTCCAAAGACATGCGATAAATGGCTAAATTGTCCATAGTGTATGAGTGTAAATGAATGTTTCCCAGAGATGGGTTGCAGCTGGAAGGGCATCGACTGGGTAAAACATATGCTGGATAAAGTTGACAGTATAATCAGTTGGAGACACTGTGGCTCAGTGGTTAGCACTGCTGCCTCACAGCAAGTAGGTTGCTGGTTCGAATCCTAGCTGGACCAGTTATCATTTCTGTGGGGAGTTTGCATGTTCTCCCTGTGTTCACGTAGGTGCTACATTTCCAGTCCAAAGACATGTGCTATAGGTGAATTGGATTAACTAAATTGTATGAATTATTGTGTGAATGTGAGAGTGTATGGATGTTTCACAGTACTGGATTATGGCTGGAAAGGCATCCGTTGTGTAAAAAATATGGCAGTATAGTTGGCGATTCATTCCACTGTGGTAACCCCTGATAAATAAGGAACTAAGCCAAAGGAAAATGAATGAATGATGATCAATTATTTGTACTTGTAGTAACAGTTTTTGATGTGTTTGTGTCCATCTCTGGTGGTTCATCTGCAGTGCTTTGCACATTTTCAGATGAACAATGGTACATTGTTTAAATGCAATCCACTGGGAGAAAAATGTTAAGACAAAGGAAAAAAGCATTGGGTTTTTTGGTTTTAATTATTGGCTATGTTTTTACAGCAACAGTGGGCAAGTGTTCAGCTCTGACACATGAACAGAGGAATGTTTATTTGCTGCAGTTTAGGGGCATAGCGGTTACAGAAACACTGACACATTCCTGTGTCACCATGTCTGCCTTTTTCCTCTTCATCTCATGATGGCTTAAAGGCATAGTTCACCAAAACAATTTTATTTTGTCATCGTTTACTCATCCTCCACTTATTCTAAACCCGAGTTTCAGTCTTCGATTAAACACAAGGGAAGATTGACTGAAAAATGCTGGAAAAACAGCAGGTGATTTCCACAGTATTTTTGTTCCTACAACGGAGGTTAATGGCTGCCTTTTTCAAGCATTCTTCAGTCACTCTTCCTTTGTGTTCATCTGAAGATTGAAATTCTTAAAAGTTTAGAATCATATGACTCTTTTTGGCTACTCCTTTTATTAATCTGGGGTTGCCACAATGGGATAACCTGCCAACTTACTCAGCATATGTTTTACACAGCAGATGCTCTTAAAGCTGCAAACCAATCACTGCGAAACATCTGTATACACTTATACACTATGGACAATTTAGCCTACCTAATTCACCTATAGCGCACGTCTTTGGACTTGTGGGGAAAATTGGAGCACCCGGAGAAACCCACACGAACACGGGAAGAACATGTGAACTCCACATAGAAATGCCAACTGACCCAATCGAGGCTCGAACCAGCAACACTATTTGCTGTGAGGTGATCATGCTGAACCACTGTGACGCCCTGAAATTAATATCTTAAAATTATTACACGTTCAAAGAAATTTACAATAAGAATGGGAGTGAATTTGATTGTGTGTTCCTTTCTGTCAGTGGGTCCTTTCCATTCCCATCATGAACCAATAAAGAAAAGGGTTTTTTGGCAACAGTTCCTTCAATGCAGTGACACAGGGGACAGTCTACCGCAGGAGCTACACATCCACTCTTCCATACTGAGAGCAGCTTGCATAAGTACACATCCCTCATTGCCACTCAACTCCAAAAACCAACTCTATAATCACCTCCAGAAGCAAACCAGAGGTTATTTCAGAATATCAACAACCAATCGTCAATCATTTTAGAAATGGAAAGAAGTGACAGCTCTTGAGCATAGTACACAAGTCTGATACAGGAAAATATACAATAACTAACACATATACTAACAAGGATCATTCCAGAACAATAATCAGATAACTGGTCGTGACAAAATATGGTGGTAGGCTATCTCACCAATCTTCTTTGCTTGGGTACAACATTAAGCACTGATGAATAAGTGACTGACTACACCAGATTAAGAGTCTTAGTTCTCATAGGCTTTACTGACATCTAGTGGAAATCTCAATAAGTCACAGATTTCAAGCATCAAATGAATTCAAGGTTTTATACAGATTTATATGCAACTGTTGCCTATTTTTTTAACTTTTGATTTTGATTGAAAGAAATCACCCACTAAATATTACCCAGTGTACAAAAAAACATATAGTCTCCAGATTAACAAGAATCATTTGATGGCAAATTAGAAGATTTATATAATGCCACTATAGGCTGTACTGTACTCATTTTTCATCAGGATGTTTTGTCAATAAAATGTTATAGAATTGACTTTTTAAGTATTGAAATAAGTACGGGAAATTCAAATTTTGAATGGATTTGGAATTGGATTTTAAACCTGGGACAATGGGTATTATTAGGAATCTCTTCATTTTGTGCAACTATAAAAGTTGGCAGAATGGAATGCTTCCAAACTTTAAAAGATAAGTTTGGTTTTCTAAAACAAAACCTATTTAGATATTTACAGTTGCGGGACTATTATATGAAAGAAATACAGGATGAAAATTGGAACAATCAGCTTGTTTAGATTTTCATTCAGACGTACAAGAAGAGAACGACTAAAACATTTTCTAAATTATATAGAGTAATAAGTCATTAATGTTTAGTTGAACTCAGAATTATTAGCCCCCCTGAATTATTACCCCCCCCATATTTGTTCCCCAATTTCTGTTTAAAGAAGAAAATATTTTTTTTTCAACACATTTCTAAACATAATAGTTTTAATAACTAATTTCTAATAACTGATTAATTTTAACGTTGACATGATGACAGTAATTAATATTTGTTTAAGAAAAGTAAACAAAAACCACTCAAACACAGTAATTTGAGTATTTGTAATTAGTTTGTTCGTTTCCACTTGTTTGTTTCCACTGGTTATATGATCCAAAAAAAAATCTATAAAAACTAGATATAAAAAAAGAAATAAGTTTGGCAGTTTCATTTTTATGACAGACACACACACACACACACACACACACACACACACACACACACACACACACACACACACACACACACAATGGATAAACAATTCTTTACGAAAATGGTTCATCTGTGTTAATTACTGTGACAAAGTGACCATGTTAGTTTTTGCTACATCAACCCCAGTTCAAGAAAAAAGAAAGAAAGACTTGCATATTTGTTACTACTGTTAGCTTTTAGTAATAAAACAAACAAATAAACCCATGCATACATATAAAATTGGAGATAGAGGACTGCTACCTCTTAATACAGTATTAATTGCAGCACCACAATGGGTCTCATCTGTGACATGTATATTTACCTTGCAGTATTTGGGTTTACCAAGATGTCATATTTCTCCTGTTCTTTCAGGGAGGTCATGTTACCTCACTTTACGTCGAGCACCATCTCTCTTTGTATGTGCATTATATCACAGGTAAAACATAATATGAAGAATTCGTTCAAATGTTTATATATTAAAATTGCACAATATTAAGATCTGTAATCGATTATTGAAATAATAAAATGGGTTTACTTTTAGGGCTTTTATTTTCTTAACTACATACTTCCGGCCGCCGTGTGAACTATAAAAATGACGTAAGAGCTTTTCCGGTCCTCTTTCATGCCTCTCTAAAATCAAGATGGTGAGTTTACCAATCGTTCAGTCAGAGGCTAGTCCTGTATTCTGGCTCGATCTTTACGATACGGCGTATTATCTCGCCGGGTACGCGTTTCGGAGTGAAGTTTATTCATTCATCAGCAAACACTAATCGGTTTTTAGGCAAATTAACCCATTGAAGCGATAAAACGCCTGAGGTGTCTACGCATGTAACGTTACACTAAAGCATCGTACGCATTCACAACTATTACATTTAAACGTAATGCATCTACAAGTTACGCCTTTACGCACGCAAACATAAAAGTGATCTTTTTATATATGTATTTCAAAATTGTAAAGTTAAAATTAAATCACCACACTATATCATTTAATACACAATAGGCCTTATTGCATGTTAAATGAAAAGTGTATCATAACACATAATTTTTATTGTGTTTTTTTATAGCAATTGCAGTATGTAAGTTTATTTCAAAGCGTTATAAAGTAAATATATAATTTTAAGTAACATGCCCAAGCCTGAAATGAAGTAAATCAGTGTTTTTAGGTTGTCCCCTGAAAACCACTTCTCATTGTACTTTTCCACATCTTAGACTAAGAAGAGGAGGAATAACGGTCGTGCTAAGAAGGGACGAGGGCATGTCCAGCCCATCCGCTGCACAAACTGCGCCCGCTGTGTGCCCAAGGACAAGGCCATTAAGAAGTTTGTCATCAGGAATATTGTGGAGGCTGCTGCAGTCAGGGACATCTCTGAAGCCAGTGTGTTTGATTGTGAGTAAACAGTTGCTTTAGAAAATGAGGACACTGATTGTGTCCCTAGTGCCCTTTTGAAACTATTGTTTTAGATGTCTCCTACAATAGATCATCAAAGATCAAAAATCGTATAATACAGGTGGCAGCATCCAGTCTAAAATGGTCCATTCCACGATCCAATCTTTCTAATCCTTTGCTTTTTGAGTGCCTGTTCAGATTGGCCAGTCTGCTGTGATGAGTCAACCACTTACAACAAATGTTGGAAGCCATAGTCATTCTCATATCTCTAGGGTGTTCAAACTAAAATCCTGGAGCACCACTGTCCTAAAAAAAATTGGTTTCAGTTACAATTAAACACACTAGCTTCCAGGCAGTTGGCCCTAAACTCTACAGGATATAGTTTAGACACCACTGCCATAATTTAATTTCTCTGGAAGCTTTCTCTACACTTTCAAATACAGTGATATGAGCTGTAACAGTAGTGCCCGTTTTACTGTAGCAATTTGATCTGCAGACTTCGTCCTTTGGGAGTGCTGATAAGTTAATTAGCTGTTGCAGCAAAATAAGCAGCATCTCAACACAACAGGTTGTTTATAAGGCTCAAAGTTGACATTGTTTACTTCGCAGGCTTTGAAGACCATTCAAGTATGAAATTATGCTAATTTGCTAGAAACCTACATACATTTGTGCTTATTTTTTCAGGGAGAGATTAGTTATGTATTGTGCACTTTGATCATTGAAGCTTTGCAGACTAAGATTTATAAAAGGTTACATTACATACTACATGATGCATGGCAAAGCATGACAGAGGCATTGTACAATATTAACAGTTATGTTTTGTTTTTGTGCAGCCTATGTTTTGCCCAAACTCTATGTGAAGCTGCACTACTGTGTCAGCTGTGCCATCCACAGTAAAGTGGTGAGGAACCGCTCTCGCGAGGCCAGGAAGGACCGTACACCACCTCCACGCTTCAGGCCTACTGTAAGTCTGGTCTTCACATCAGTGTTACAAACATGAATAAATAAAACATGCTATTTTATGCTTTTTTATCTATATGTAACTGTTTTCTGTTTCTTTTTCCAGGGTGGTGCCCCAAGAGCTCCTCCAAAACCAATGTGATCTGGAGCCGTTTACATAATTTTTTTATGTAAAGAAATAAAATTGACTTAAATGTTAATGTGTTCTTTTGTTATTGGTTACTAAAGTTTACCGAAATGCATTTTGAATAGACAATACTACAAATTTTGTTCATATTTTTTATTACCTATTTAAACGCTCAGTTCCATAAGTGGGATGTTTTTCAGTATATTGTGTTACCTTGATAAACTACAGTAGTCAACATTTGAAGTGGATTAAAACCTTTCCTTAAAGTGGAACTGAAACTATACTTGTTCTTTTTATGATCCACCTAAATGTTGACTACTATATATCATGCATTGTTCAACCATAAAAATGGGCTGACCATTAAGGGGTTACGTTTTTGAATAAATGAATGGTAAAGCATTAAATTAGGAATAACCTAATGTATTACAGATAAAGGTGGTGCAGCGGTTAGCACTGTTACCTCACAGCAAGAAGGTCGCTTGTTCGAGTCAGTTGGCATTTCTGTGTGGAGTTTACATGTTCTCCGTGTTCGCATGGGTTTCCTCTGTGTGCTCTGGTTACCCCCACAGTCCAAAGCTATGCGTTATAGGTGAATTGAATAAACTAAATTGGCTGTAGTGTATGTGTGTGTGCATGCCAGAATGTATGGTTGTTTCCGAGTGCTGGGTTGTGGCTAGAAGGGTATCCGCTTGGTAAAACATATGCTGGATAAGTTGGCAGTTCGTTCCGCTGTGGCAACCCCTGATTATTAAATGGACTAAGCCGAAGGAAAATGAAATTAAAGATAGATTAATGTAAATATACATTTGTTAATTGTTAGAGTGGTTCATGTTACCTTTTTAAAGGAATACTGTTAATATTAAAATTAGACGGTTACTTGACAATAGTATATAATATGCTGAAACTGTTTGTGTAAATCATGGGTGTCCAAACTCAGTACCGGAGGGCTGGTGTCCGGGAAAGTTTAGCTCCAACCTTAATCAAACCTGAACCTGCTAATCAAGCTCTTACTAGATATACTAGAAACTTCCTGGTAGGTGTGTTAAAGCAAGTTGGAGTTAAACTCAGCAGGACACCGGGGGTCAGTTCTTCGTACGTGGATTACTCAGTTAGCTGGATTTGGATATTGACGATTTGACACGATCCAGGATCGTTTCGTTCTTCAAAGCTGATCCGAGAGTTGTTGTCATGGCAACAGATCTGCTAGGTCAAACCTGATCGGGAGCAGGTTCAAATCATATAAACAGGATTAGATCGGCTCAGTTCAAGCAAAGATAATACAGAAAGTATGTACCGAGTTCTGATATTTTCTTACAGTAAAAGTTATATACACTTGGGAAAATAGTAGTTTTTAACTATATATTTAAAGTTATAGTCATTAATAAAATAAATAAAGTTTTACATATTAATAAAACGTATGCAATCTGCACCCTCGAAATGAAAGTACAAAGACTGCCACCTGGTGGTGCAAAGAGAAAACTTATTGGTATGAACTTTTTAGATCGCTTTAGTACAAATTGTGTATAATAGAAATGCACAATATGTGACTTTTTTTTAAAAGCAATAATACATTTATGCAGTCATAAACATGTTTTGACAGTTAATATGCCAGTGATTTGATGCTTCACAAAAGTTGCAGACGCCTTTACCAATATCAAAATGCTTTTGGAAACAACCAGTTATTCTTTACACCGATTAAAAAACTGTACTATAATAAAGAAAATCTTTTCTAAATGTAGAACTAAATACACTGATTTGCATTGAAATACATGATGAATACTCTTGTCTTGACAAATGAAAGTGTAAAGCCTGCAGCTCACAACAAATGTGAAGTTACTGCGTGTCTTATTTAACAAGCCGTTTACTGCTAATTTGATGTAATTTTGCTCACATGGATAATTGAATATTAATCAGATGATGTCATTACGCTGCTGTGCCGTCAGCCAATCGTTGCATTGCTGATCATGATTTCGAGGATCGATAGATCTGTCCTTAACAACAAACGCAGCGATCTCAGATCAGTTCATCCAGACATTCTAATCTGATTCGCGAACTTGTTTGAAGAACCAAATAAGCGAGAGATCAGTTATCAAGATTAAAAGATTCAGGATCTGCCAAATCATCTTAGATCATTTAAGCGAGGTACGAAGAACGGACCCCGGCTCACCAGGACTAAGTTGACACCCCTGGTAAAAACAAACTATGGAAAGTTCATTTAAATAAAAGCGAAATCAAATACAAACATTACATGGAAATAAATTTAAACCGGTTGAAATAAAACATGAACCTGAAACTGAATCCTAATAAACGGTATAATTGCTAAACCTAAAGACTTGGAAATAAAACATAGCAACACTATATTATTAACACTGTTGGGTCAAGTAAACTAAAAAATAATACAAGATATACTTTAAATCAGGGATGCTCAACCCTGTTCCTGGGGATCTACCTTCCTGATTAGTTCAGCTCCAACCCTGATCAAACACACCTGAACCAATTAATTAGGTCCTGAACAGCACTTGATAATTACAGGCAGGTGTGTTTGATATGGATTGCAACTGAAATCTGCAGAAAGGTAGATCCCAGTAACAGGGTTGAGCATCTCTGGTTAAAATAATTTGACAACTGAAATTTGATCAAGACTGGACATAAATTAGGGAAAAAGTGTTTAGAGTTGTAAGCGACAGAAGTTACAACAAATATTACTTTATTGGACATGAAAAATTACTTCAACTTAAAGTTGGGTTACACTCCTTAAAAACAAGATCAAATAAACAATACCTCTTGAAACCAACACACCTTTTTATAGAACATGAGGCAGTTTTTTTATATTTTAACAAATTTGAGGTAAAGAGTTTTTCTTTGTCATATACATTTTTTTTCTCTCACAAAATATTTAAAAACATTGAATCCAGGGATAAAGCCCAAGAACGACAGAGTTTGATCCCTGCCTCCCCAAAAACGCTAAGTCTCTCTTTCTCAGTTGCTGCTCGTTATGGTTGCTTCACAGTTCGTTTAAAAATATTTAGTTCATCACACCTTGGGGATAAGAAATATGAAATGATGCAGATAAAGAGCTGGGTTTGGTTTAGAGGAAATAGGGAAAAATTGCAGCTAGTATTTCACAAGCAGAAGAGTTGCAGAACCCCAGAAAACAAACGAGTACACATGCAACCTCTCCCATTCACACGCTCGATAGAATTCATTACATAATTTCTCTTTGACCGTTAAGTGCATTAAGTGTCATATATGGTTTTTGCCATAATTTCAAGTAAATAATTTTTTTTTGCAGAAAAATAAAAATAAAAGAAAGTAAGGGTGCAAAGTCATTGACTAACCTTTGTAAATACTGGATTTGGTCTCACTTATCCATTCATACTGTACTCCGTAGGCTTGCACTGGAGTGAATCCAAGCATTCGCATTAAGAGGCCTACAAACATCGTGAAAGTAACCGAAAGATGTAGGGTCAGTGGATTACACATAAGCAAGTTTTGGAAACAGCTGACCACCTTCAGGGTCCAGTTATACACACATGCTACAACATCCACGTACCCTTAACCACAGCCCACGTCACATAAAGGTGAGAAATGTACAAGCAATCAAACAAAACAAATCTTCATTATTTCACTCATTGGTGCTTTAGTTTCATCTCAGTTTGTGCAAGTGAGATCCGCTGATAAAACAGGCCACCATATATTTATATATCTCTTGGCAGGACGGTACATAACTCTACGACAACATTTCAGTCCTTTCCTTCAAAATCAAGCAGCAGTTCATACTCGGTGGGGATCGAGAGTACCGTATGCATGAACTCATATGGACATGACCACACAGGACAAGCGTACAGGATACAAGTCCAATATCAAGGGCAGAAGTCACACAAACATCCAAGCACCAAATTTTACAACACAAGGAGAAAATGTTCAGTTCTGAAACCTTAAATGACTGCGACCCCTTTTGTTATTAGGAAAATAGCCTTTGTAGAATTGTTTTTAAAAACACCACACTGTTCATCTGGTCTTTATAACCAACGTGTTCTCGTATCAAATTGTTTCTTGTTTTCTCTAAATAGCATTTTTTTTTTTATCAGAAATCAGTGCAATAGAGCAATTTCAGAAAACAAAAGAGTATGTTTCAAAGCTCAGTTACCAGTCTTTACTGTGTCTGCTTCCCTAAAGCCTTTGAATAAAATCCCCCTCCCGCCCCGTGTCGCCGCGCCGGTCCAAAACCCACCCCAGCCCCAGCAAAACACTCACATTTAAGCAGAATTAGAAAAAGTGCAATCCTCCTTTTGAGGTAACAACCCTTCCCCTTCACTCAGAGTCACGGAATGCAACATGGCTCAGTGTTTGGTCTGCACCAGAACTTTAAGGCTCCTTTCCCCCCTCCGCATCTAAAAGAAAACAATGTGGCCTACTGTGTTTGCAGCATGGCAGAGGATGGAGGGTGGGGACTTCATACTACAAAAACCTCTATTTAAAAAAAACCCTCTATTCTCAATAGATTTGATAGGCAAAATATTTATCGTAATGTAAGTGAGGTCGAGATAAGGTTTGAAACGACAATCAAGATTTGAGGCACGAGGAAACCAACCTTTCTTCTTCTTCAGGACAGAGGTTGTAGACTCAAAAACTAAGGCAAATGTTTCAAGTTCATTTCCTTTCTCAAATAAAACACTAATATACATTTTAGAAATTAATAAAATTACCCTAGCTTTAGCCTAACCCCAATCCTACTTGATCCAAGAGTGCCGTATCATCTTTGTTTTAAAGTTACCCGAATTCAAACTGCATTGTACCGACTAAATCTTCCAGCATTAAAAACCATGTGCAATTCAACGACTAGCTCGTACAGGGTTCATATAAAGCAACGATTAAGGCAATATGTGTCTGTGCTCCTTATATGGCTAACATACCAATACTCCAGCCTCAGTTTTGCGATTTACGCTGCTTGCTCCTCATTCCCTCTCTGTCAGCAGTGTCCTCCCTGAGTCGCCTAATTTCAACAGTCCCATCGAGGTATCCTAAAAGAGCACAATGTTTGTGTGAATACTCCTAGGCTTAGATTTCTCTTGTTTAACAGGCTCAGAAACTTTGGAAAACCGCTCTGGATAAAACAGTCCAGACTTTGGACGTCGAAGCTATTTTTTGTCCTTCTCTCCTGAAGAGGCAGACTCTATGTAAACGCCACCGAACAGATGAGTACACACCTAATCTCACATCTCGAATTTCTCTTCGCAACTGATAAAAAATAAACCCCACGGAAGGAAGGCACTTCTAAAGCAAAACAGCTGCGTCTTGCGATGAATGACTTTTTGTGGGAGTGCAATCGGAGGATTGGACTAGGTGAATCCTCCTGACATCCTCTAACGCAGGATGCAATCGCACGTTTTGTGTTCGTACCCAAGCGATTAGCCTTAAAAGGTAAAAATTGGATGTTCGCTAACTATAAAAGCAAGTGCTAATGTGCCCCACTCTGGTGCAGACCGAACTAGATGCCATGACGCCATCTCAAAGCAGCATACAACTCTCTGTACATCTTCCCCCAGTTTTGACCTCCACCATCCACCTCAGCCCACCTGGTGCTCCCCACGAACAATGTGTGAGGAGAACTCGTAGCGGTCCTGGCTGCGGTGACCACAGATGTTGCACTCGAATGGCTGGCGGAAGCCGTGGCAGCCCATGTGGATGGTGAACATGACATGGTCCAGGAAGAAAATGCGACAGTGCTCGCAGCGGAAGGAACGCACCGGCCGCCCTTCCCCGTCTACCACCTGCATGGCTTCTCTTGTCAACGGTGAGCGCGGACTCGCCTTGGTCGGTAAACCCCCAGGGACCCCTTTCTCCCTGTCCCCCTCTATGTCCATTTCTTTGGCGTGACTAGGACTGTGCCGATCGCGCCCACGGTGGTTCAAATTTCCCGGTGGCGCCGAGGTAATAACGCACTGCTCCTCCGCCATGCTCTCAGTGTCTGTCGAATCTTGGTAACCGTTACTCGGCGAAGCAGCGCGGCTGCGGGTGGAGGGCAAATCTTCATGACCCTCGCCGGCCTCCCTCCCGGCCAAGCCCATGGAGATGCCCCCCGCACAGTTTAAGCGCTGACCTAGAGGGGTTATATGAGGGTAGACGGAGCTAATGACTGGGGTGAATTCTGAGAGGCAGGCGGAGTGAGGCGGCATCCGCAGCGAGCGGGAAGGATCCACGTCATTGCTGCCTCCTCTTGGTCCCCGCATGAAACGCCCTCCCATCTCTGCTAGAGCAGCCGGGTCGCCCTCAGGATGTGAGAGCAACAAATCCCCTTCTTTATCAGGATTGGGGTCAAGATCATAAGGTGCTTCAGATATATTCAGCCGCATGTGCTTTTCACCTAGAAAGCCAGGGAGCATCAGTATAATTGATTGTCAAGTATCACATTACACTGAAATGATTTTGTTTTTTTATGCAGCCAAGCAAGAAGCAATACTATTTTTAGAACATGTTACTTTTATAAATCTAGTTTTAAAAAAGTTGATGTCTGACTGATCCAGACAGATTATCTTCAATATACAGTTGAATTCAGAATTATTGGCCCCCCTTTTATTTATTTATTTATTTTTTAATATTTCCCAAATGATATTTAACAGAGCCAGGAAATTTTCACAGTATGTCTCATAATATTTATTCTTCTGGTGAAAACTTTATTTGTTATATATTGGCTAGTATAAAAGCAGTTATTAAATTTTTTTAAAACTATTTTAAGGTCATTATTAGCCCCTTTAAGCTATATTTTTTTAGATAGACTATTTATTGTATACCGATGGTTTGTTCTTTAGACTATCTAGAAAACATATAGTTTAAATTAACTGTCAATAATTTGACCTTAAAATGCAATCAAATCAAATATTATCAGACATATTGTGAAAATTTCCTTGTTCTGTTAAACATAATTTGGGGAATATTTCAAAAAGAAAACAAAAAACAAAGTGGGGGCTCATAATTCTGACTTCAACTGTATATAGACAACCAAGGTATAATTTTAGCAGTGGACATAGCCGACGAGCTTAATACCCATTTACGCAGGAAATACTGTACTGCTTTTCAAAGAAATGAGCCTACCCAGGAATTTCTGGGGTGTAGATCTCTTCCTCTTAGTGATGCTATTTGCCAGACGATCAATGAAGGTCATTTTTTCTGATGAGGACTGGATCAGGGGTTCAGATATCATCTCCACGTTATGGGACTCTTCACCTGTACATGATGCACATATGGAGGCATGATTATAATAGAATATTGTGTGTTATTCAATAAATCAATCAAAAAAAAAAAAAAAAAAATATATATATATATATATATATATATATATAAAATTCATTGGCAAAGGAATTTATTAATTATTTATTAATGTTAATTTCTTCAGTCATAAATGTAACATGACCCTTCTGAAGACATCGTAAATACTGGTTTGGTGCTAAAGAATCATTCCCAATTATTATTATTAGTGTGGTAAAATGATTCTTTGAAGAACAGAAAATCAAACAAACTACTTCAACTATTTCGTATGAATTATACAAACAAAGTGATCAAATTATAATAAATGTATTATAATTAAATGTATTATATTTATTACATTTATTATAATTAAATCTTTTCTTTTTTAATCTTTTAGAACCTGTTTTAACACATTTTAATCTGTTTTTAAATCACTTTTATTATTTGTTTTTATTTTCTTATACTTGTCTCTTTTATTCCTGTTTATGTAAAGCATTTTGAATTGCCACTATTTATGAAATGTGCTATATAAATAAACTTGCTTTGCCTTGTCATAATAAACTATATATTATATAGTAGTAAATATATTATAATAAACTTTTAATAACCTAAAAGTGTCCTTGCTAAATATAATGATTAAATAACTAATAAAATAGTACTGTACTCCTCTACAAACAAACAAACAAATGCATAAATAAAATAAAATTAAATAATTTCATAGTCTTATCTGTGTGATTATCAGTTAAAATACACATTTTAATTCAGTGCTCTGAGAGATTGGTTATAATGTCTGTATTTAAAAAAGAAATAAAAAATGGAAATACTAACAACATTGGATACTGCAGCTGGTATATTATACAACACAGGGCCTACAGCAAAATAATATATCTTTTTTCTTTTCGACATCTAACCACCTGTTCAGATTCTTCATGTATAAAATACAACCTCTCCAAAAGCATGTATTTTAATCAAGAAGAGCTCTGAACCATTCTTGCATACAGCTACTTCACCAGCTGTGATCTTCACACACCATAAACACAATAATGTTGGTGAACAAAACTTGGTTGCAAAGTACTGGCTTCCCCTACCATTTGTGGGAGGGAAAATGATATTACCGTGAGTAGGCTGGGTGTTGTGAGCCGGCTGGTGGTCCAGACTTTGCAGGTAGCTGTGACAGCGCTCACGGTGCTCTTCCAGGGTGCTCTGCTGCTTGTAGCTGCGGCCACAGTAACTGCACTTGTAGGGCTTTCCTACTGTAGGGGAGGATACTGAAATAACGAGGAGGGAGAATACCAATGCATTTCACACGGATCTGCAAGTGTTATATAAACATGAATACAACATTGATGCTGTGATTAATAGTGATGACTATTAATAGTAATAGTAAAAGGTGATTACCAGTAAAACAATTTTCTTATTAAATATAATTAGAGGTGAAACTGTACACAAAAATGATGGTTAGGTATGTAGATCAGTTTAAAATTTACAATTTGGTACTTTTTAAGGGTGGAAACACTAAACATAAAATTGCTTCTTTTTGTCTTCTCTTAATAATCAATGGTTTAGAAAACAAACTCTGTAATTTAATAAAGTACAGTTTAATGTTTAAAGTTTAACTATAGCTCAAATGGATGAATGGGACCATACAAATGTGTTCTTATGAACACGATAATGAGATAACACAAAACTTCTTGAGATTATTCAATAGGAGGTGTACTCTATAACTAGGCCTGTCATGATATCTATTTTATTAATTTTTTTTACAATATATTGCAATAAACTATATTATTGTCATTTTAAGACCATTTGATGACACTCACTATATAATACTGGAATGACAATATAATAACATCAAGATGCAAGTTGGGGCTGCACAATATACTGTTTCAGCATCGATATCGCAATGTGATCCTTCACAATAGTCACATCGCAGGATATGCAATGTTAAGTTTATATTTCATAATTTGCATGCATTTTTGATGCTTGTGATTGTACAATGACCTCAAAAGCATTCAGGCCCAAGAAACTGTACCATTTGTGACTTTAACAACGATTAAATTTATTGAATTATTTTTATTTTACTTAGTTACTGTATTTGAATATCGTCAGACTCTGAAAACACTAAAACACTTTTTCAATTGTATATTTGTCTTGATTATATTTATAGACAGTTATAAATGAAAATACTCACAACACATGCCAATACAGAAATGCACTGCAATTAGCACAGACCACAGCGAAAATGTGTCGGGGGACCCCAAAAGATTAGATTTCATGGAGATGTACTCCCTCTGCAGAATCATCCCAATCGATCATAATATAATACATAATAACATAATAATAATACATAACAAGTTCTTTCTAAGAGAGATATTAAGTTATCTGATGAAACTGAATTCAAATCACAATAAAAAAAAAAATAATCGTAATGCTAGATTTTTACAATATTGTGCAGCCCTAATGCAAATGCGCTGTTGCAAAGAACACATAATATTTTATCCATAAGAATATTTCATTTTAGTCATTTTAACAATTTAATAATATAACAAATAAATAATAATAAATGTTACAATAATAATAATAAAGTAACAAAGTCTGTAATATCTGGTACCAGATCTGTTTTCAGTTGTCAGACACCTACATGAAAATATACTAAGATAATTTATAGCAAATACTATATTATTTTTTTTACCATACTGACAGCTATATTTATATATGAGCAATATCACACTCGTAGCAGTGCGATATGGCTGTATATCGGCACTGGTGGGAGGCATGCGTTGGCACGAGGCCGCAAGCCGAGTGCCTTAGTGCCCCCACCAGTGCCGATATACAGCCATGTGTGATATTGTGTTGATACAACAGTTTGACAACATAATTGAACTACTTTCTTCCGCGTTGGGTTCAAATCATAAGCTGACAGTTAAACAGCTGAGCAAGCATCTTTAAACTTTTGATCTGTAGTGTCTGCTTTTTGCTGGCTGTATGTGGGCAGAGTAATACACAAAGGGTAAAGAGGCTGTACGGGTGCTGATATTACTTAAATATATCACGGCTATCAGCCAATCAGATTCGAGAACCAGACAGAACTTTTATATATATATATATACTAGATATATATAGCATGACCAAAATGATCATGTCCATGTGTTGTGCAATATTATTGATTATTGATTATTGTCTAATGTAATGTCTGTATTTATCTAAAACGCTTAGTGTTTTATTAACACATTATTTGTTACAATTAAGAATACATAAAAATTCTTGAAACAAATGTGTTGTTACACTCCAAATTATAACTAAAATAAACACCACATAATATTATTAGGATGAATAATATGATAATTAATAATAATCATAATTATTATATAAAATAGATTATAAAGAATTCCATAAGAATAAGGTAGTTACTGGTACAGAATTCATAAAACCACAGAATTTCCCTTGACACAATTTCCCCAAAAACGAAATTACACGCAGTTCATCTATGACGTTAATAGAATAGCAAGAACTACAGACCGCATCTGTCCGGATAGCTTTAGAGATGTGCGTCATTTCAGAGAAATCCATCACTCTATAAAGTCATTTCTCTGAATATCTGCATTCTTATTCAAAGGACCTACAGGTAAACGCTCATCATTCAAAAACACAAGCAGGATATCCTGTTTTCATGATATTCTAAATGTCATACTAGACCGCTGCACTTCATTTAGTCTTTGACTAAAATGCGATTACATAACTGATCGATAAGATTTAATTTACACGTATTAGTCTGCCGGCTCAAGCTTTAGAGAAGCAACAGGTTCAAAAGGAAGTTGAGTGAAGTTCCAGGCAGCAAAAATAATCACCACTTGCATTAAAGGAGAAATGGGTTAAGATGACCTTGACTGCACTAATTCATGCTTTGTGGCAAATCAAAAGGCTTTTTCCAGCCCACACACTTTTCCTTCCATTTATTTTCCAGCCACAAAGTTCTCGCTCCTTCCTTCTCTTTATTTCTCACAAATGGCGGCTCACCAGAGTGGGTGCGGAGGTGTCCTGTCAGAGCATCACGGCGGCGACAGGCGTAGTTGCAAAAGGGACATTTGAAGGGCTTTTCGCCAGAATGGAGCTTGATGTGACGCAGCAAGTTGCCCTTCTGAGTGAAGGAGGCCCCGCACTGGTTACATTGGAATGGCCGCTCACCTACCGAGACCAAGACTACCAGTTTTCCCACCGGCCCAAAAAAACAGCAGCACATATCTTCAAGCTGACATTTTATAAAAGATAATTGATTGTTTTTTTTGTTTTTTTTAAGAGTTGGTCAAGAAACACTTACCTGTATGGCTGCGTTTGTGCACCATAAGAACATTGGGTCCGATGCAGATCATCCCGCATATATCACATTTAAGCTTCCCGTTGGGCAGCCGAATGGGACCAGGGGATGCGGGTTCAGAGCTGGCCATCTCCCCGCAGCCGCTGCCAGCCTGCCCTCGAGTGCCTCCAACCATCTCCACTCCACCGTCTTCTGCCAAATCGCCCTTTTCATCTTTCCATCCTTCATCTTTCTCTCCGACTCTCCTTTCCACTAGTGGAGCACCACCTGCCTCCTCGTCACTATACAGCTCCACTTTGATGGAGTTAGCTGGACGTGGACAGAAAGTTACACATTTATTCACTTGCCATATATTTTTAACTCTAACCAGGAATTCGAAATGATAAACAATCAGTGTGTACAATGAATAGCAAAAGAAAGACATTTTTTAGGTTAAGTAAGATGTAAAAATTTGTTTAAAACGCTGAAAAACACCAATGGTGCATAGGGACGAATCATTTTTTACTTCAATGTTATGTCAAAGTATCTGAGTACAGTTTACATTCATCTATTTTTCATTATTATGTAAAATTTTCCCCTCAACAATTCATTTAAAACGTTTTGCTTATTCATCCTGCTTGACTAATAATGATGTCTTTATTTCCATTGCTTGTTACAGCTATGATTTGTGATTGGAACTGATCCACTTGCATCTGTTCTTGAGTCAACAGCTCACTAAATATAATAATCAGGTCAGAGTAAGTCTCCACTTACTGATTCACTGACTCAAATTATCTGCCTAGAAAAAGTCTCCAGTCAGCGATTCTCTGATTCAAATGATCTGGTCAGAATGAGTCTGAAGTTCACATTTCATTGATTTGACATCGAAAGTCAAAGGATTTAACGGAGTGAAATTAAAACAATTGTTTTGTACATCAGGCTGGCTTAGAGCTAAATAAGGTCAGTGTAAAATGATACTTTTTTTGTCTATGTAATTGAATTATGTCTTGTCTATTTTTAAATAGCGTAGCATACTGTCAAAAAAAAATCCAATCTAAGTCTGACAATAAAGTTATCAACATATTCATCATCAACAAAATATCCTATCCCCAGTCAATTATTCTCTGATTCAAACTATCCGATCAGAGTGAGTCTCCAATTGTCATTTTGTTGACTTAAATGATCTGATCAAAGTGAGTCTTCAGTCAGTTACTCACCGATTCAAATTAACTTGTCAGACTGAGTCTCTAGTCAATGATTCACTGAATCAAATGATCCAGTCAGAGTGAATGTCTAGTTAACAACTCATTAATTTATTGATTTCTTTTCAGCTTAGTCCCTAATCAGGGGTCGCCACGGTGAAATGAACCGCCAACTTATCCAGCATATGATATGTTTTACATAGCGGATGCCCTTCCACCTGCAACCAAACCCTGGGAAACATCCATACACGCATACACTATGGACAGTACAGCTTACAATTCAGCGATTCAACAATTTAGCTTACAATCTTTGGACTGTGGGGGAAACCGGAGCACCAGGAGGAAACCCACGCAAACACAACGAGAACATGCAAACTCCACACAGAAATGCCAACTGACCCAGCCGAGGCTCAAACCATCAACCTTCTTGTTGTGAGGGGACAGCACTAGTCACTGCGCCACTGCGTCGCCCAGTCAATAATTCACTGATTCCAAATATTCGTTCGGAATGTATCTCCAGTTAACAACTCACTAAAGTCACTGCTCAATAAAATTCACTGAAATTTCAGAATTTATTAATTTAATTGAAAATCACATTTAGGTCATCACCGTCAGTTAACCAAATCAGGTATTAAAATGTTTGAGCTGTTAAAACCCACTGCATGAAGGTCCTGAATGTGGACATATACATGTTCCAGTTTCGAATAAACAAGGTTTGTTTCAATTAAAAACAAAGACAATTAAAATTAATTACCATGCATCTTTCTTGCCGTTACATTAGTTCATAAATATTTAAAACTAGTATCTTTGCATATCTTACTTTTAAAAATTAGATCACATTTGGCCCAAGTGATTTCATGTGGTTTGTTTATTTTTTATATTATGTTGATGTTTGTCACATTTAGTTTCATAGCTATATGTTATTTACTGCCATTTTCACTTGCTTGCACACTAGAATTCCCATTAATCATCAGTATATATCAGCATTAGTATTATTAATTAAAAAAACAAAACTGTCGACGCAGTGATGCAGTAGGTAGTGCTGTCACCTCACAGCAAGAAGGTCGCTGGTTCGAGCCTTGGCTGGGTCAGTTAGAGTTTCTTTGTGGAGTTTGCATGTTGTCGCCGTGTTCGCGTGGGTTTCCTCTGGGTGCTCCAGTTTCCCCCACAGTCCAAACATTGTAAGCTAAATTGTTGAACTGCTGAGTTGTAAGCTATTATGTCCATAGTGTTTGCATGTTCTGCCTGCGTTTGCGTGGGTTTCCTCCGGGTGCTCCGGTTTCCCCCACAGTCCAAAGACATGTGGTACAGGTGAATTGGGTGGGCTGAATTGTCCGTAGTGTACGAGTGTAAATGAGTGTGTATGGATGATTCCCAGGGATGGGTTGTAGCTGGAAGGGCATCCGCTGCGTGAAACATATGCTGGATAAGTTGGCAGTTCATTCCGCTGTGGCGACCCCAGATTAATAAAGGGACTAAGCTGAAAAGAAAATGAATTAATAAAAAAAAAAAAACATTTTGGTGCCAATTAAACATGAAATCAATCTGTGCTTTTTCCATTTTTAATAAGTATTCAAGTAATATTAAAAAGTAATTTACAATTACTAATTATTACTACAACTTAATAAGTAATTATTAGTACTTTAACTAGAGTAATATTTTATTAGGGTATCTGTACATCTACTCAGATATAGGTTTATGCAGGGGCGTAGCATAAACCCCTCACTTTTGGAGACAGACCATTTAAAAACAGGTAATTAATAATTATATGAATATAAACTTTTGGATCTCATACAGCTCTCATACAACTTTTAAAATGTCCACTACATCCTTGTGTTTATGGTATAGGTACAAGTAAAGGTTTACGTTCTTTCACCACTGAAAACTACTGACCACTGAGTGAGCGGCTGGGTGAGGACTGTTGACTGTTTGGTGTGCTCACGGTGGGTCCTCTCAGCCCTGCAAAAAACTCCCGCTCTGTTGAAGAATCTCCACTACCTGAAACACCAACACGAGGCTCAAAATGTTAACATTTTTATTTATTACAAAATTTCCACCATACAATTTAATAGGAAATAAAACAATTTAAGTAAAAAAATAATGTCTTTAGAAACTGAAACAGATGGTTTCAATAAAATAAAATAAAATGGTTACTTGTTTGGTTGGTGTTTTAACATTAAGGCTGGCTTATTTTATAGCAAGTAACTACTTAGAACCTTTTAAAACCTACATAAGATTTGATTTGAATGAAAAATATAAAACTGATTCAGGGTTGGCTCTGTTAAATAAATATATTTGAAAGTGTTTGCTCCGTAATATTATTTCCCTAGAGAACTTAAACCAGCACACTTATTATAATTGTAAATATGATATAAATATAATATAAAATCAGACTTACATCATGTTTTTGTACACTTATGTATAAATGTATGTCTCTTAAAATGAAAATAAATAAATAAAAATAATAATAAAAATAAAAATACACCTTACCTGACATGTACGAACGGCCATTGCAATCGTCAGCATTCATCATCACACCAGCAGCCTATACAAAAAAATCATTTATATATATATATATATATATATATATATATATATATATATATATATATATATATATATATATATATATACCTGTATACATATATAAAACATTGGATAGCAAAGAATAAAACCAACTCCAAATTTCAACATTGCAAAAAGCAAAGCAAGGTTTTTTCACTGGTACATTTTGCATTGGATGCACTCAAAAACACGAAAACATCTCTATTTGCCTCCTTTGATATCAAACAAAAACAACACTTGCAGGTTCACTTGCAGTTCGTTATTTCTCCCTTTCCTGTGTGGTTGCACAGTTTGAGTAGCTGAATAATTGATACGCTCACACTGGTCAAGATCTCATTTCTAGCTCAACAGCTGAATTGAGTGTCCATTCTATAGAATTCTACTCTTAAATGGAGAGCGTAATGTGCAAGAAACTGCCCTCCCTTCATCCTGTGACCTATCAGAACACAGGCTGACATCTAGAGCAATGATGACAGCAAGCCAAATGCAAGGGTTGTTATGCTTTCCTATTACTCAGACATTTCCACGTGTTATGACTTTGGTATTGGAAAAATGCTTTAAAAGCATTACATATTGAAACAAAATACCCATTAATTCTTATAAAAATAACCACGTTATTCATATTTGGTAAAATGTGAGCCAATAGCAAACTAAACTTTAAATATTTTTTTTTGTCTAACATCAAAATGTGTAACAATGTAATGTATGGCAGAAGTGTGGATAAATGAATTGGATGGTAATCAGACTCGTATGCATAACAAAATTTACACAGCACAAATAATTAAAAAATTAATTTTAAATAAAGACATAACAACATTTACTAATAGCAAAATATTAAAGAAAATGCAAATGCTTTTGAAATAAACTGGAAAACATGATGATTTTTGATGATGCAGACAAAACCAGATTTTCACATATTATAGTTTTAATATTGTAACTAGGTTTTAGTTTTAAATGTGAAATCAAATATAATTTCACATTTATAACATAACATTTTCATTAAGAATGTACATTTGTTAACAAATAAGTTTGAAAATTTTTTAATTAATCTCTGGACAAATCTGATGATCCATATTTTTAAAGCCTTTTACCCTTGGCATTTTGGTATATTGTGCAGCTTTAAGTAGTTTTTTTATCAGCCATAAAGCAAATCTGACTCCAAAATATCTGACACTATGATTTAATTTAACGGGTTTGTTGCAATAGGTTTGTACACGGACCAATAATCCAGAAACAATTGAGCATAACAGACAGCACAAACTAAATTAAAGAATAAAGGTATAACAAACTAGTACTAAAAGCAAAATAATGCACAATGTCAAGAGTCAAAAGTGATTGAATGACACATAAAAAGCTAAAATATTTGTTAACACAAATTCAAGCTTTTGATTTTTAAATATTTATGGGATTAGACCACTTTGTAACCTCTAATATTTGTTTTTATTCCCATTATGGGTCAGAACTGACTTAAATATCACAGGAGGGTACTCTTAAAACACAATCTGATAGCATAAACAGTAAGTTTAAGCTGACAGTTTACAAGGCAGTGACGACAAACGCCAATGTTTTCTTTCACAATCTTTCAAACCGTGAATGAATAAAAATGCTTTTTATTTATTCATCTTACGTTGTAACATTTATAAATGCACAACGACTTATCATTTAATCGCCAACAACAGGCCTCCAGAAACATAAGACCTCGTTGTGTCGTACGAAGCAGAAAACACACACACACAGCTGCAACAGGCAGATCTCATAAATTCACAGTGCTGTCAATGAGTCTTCAAATTAACGCAGTAATCGAAACAGCCCCTGTCTGTGTGCAATCACACCAGTAAACAATACCTGACGACGAGAACAAGATTATCGAGCACAAGCCCCCGTATGTTTGGTAACTTTTCATGCACCATCGTGCTGCAGAGGAGGACTGACAGCACGCAGAATCATGTCAATCCTGTCTGTCTGGAGCAACACTAGCTAGCCGCTGCTGCTAACCAGCTAACGAGACGTGACAGCTCACAATAAGCCAAAGACATCGCTAAACTAACTCACAAACGAAAGGACTAGCGTTGCTGACAACGCAATCCGATCGGCAGCCTCCGGTCGTGAAATACGGTCGATTTTTAGACGTGACAAACTAAAGAGGAATTATGTTTCCTGAGAGCCCGCTGGCGTTGCTATGGCACCCAGCACTCGACAGATGCGTCTGGCCGTGTAAACCCTCCCAATCCGAGCCCAGTTACCTCACCTAATGTCACTTTTCGTCAATAACCGCGATTGATTTCGCACGGGGAGTATGTTTTCTTACCTGACGATCGACTTTGATTGCAATATTTATACAGCAGAAGCGCCGTTTGTTTTCTCTGGCGAAGGCAGCATCTCCGGGATCTTTTACCTGAAACCCCAAACAACTTCCGGGCCCATGCCGGGATACAGGCCCGAATAAAACATAGCCGAAAACCGCCTCTCTAATCCATGATTGGGAGGGATTATCGAATGCATCGATCCTCGTGCTACAAGTTTGGGAAATATAACACAGTGTAAAAACTACAAAGGCCACGTATTGTTATTATTATTTATTTCAGTGACCTTAAAAATGCATTGTAATTTATTCACTATAATCAAACAGTATCAGCTGGGAAAGCTAAATTCTAAAAGTTTAATAATTATTTATTATTTATATTATTATTATTATTATTATTATTATTATTATTATTATTATTATTATTATTATTATTATTATTATTTAATTGATTAATATATTACTAATAGCATCAATATAATAAAGGTTGTTCTTTGTTTGATGATTGTGCAGTGACAGTGCTCACTATATGTTCACTATGATTTGTCAAAAATAAACCATTTTGTTAGATGTCACAGACCCCTGATTATGTCCATCATCAATGGAGGAACATAAAATAAAGACAGCTGTATTTTTCTTATTAAAAAAGAAAGATTTATTTAAAAGGAAAAAAAAATACATACATACATACATACATACATACATACATACATACATACATACATATTTATTTATTTGCTTATAAAATCTTATTTTTATCTGATTAATTTGTACTTGCATATGATTTAATATTTACATTTATTTTAATTACATTTGGTCATTTACAGGAATCTTATGAAGTTATTTTTATATAATAGCTATTTGGTTATTTGTATCCAACTTATATTTATTTGATTGTTCCATTTATACTAATTGTTGTTCATTTATTTTCTTAATTAAATTCAGTTACATTTTTTTTTCTTCAAACATTTCTATAGACCATGTAGTACCTTCTTGACACCAAACAACTGATTTACCATTAAACATTTAACAAAGAAGTCATATTTGTGAATTTCTGTGAATTTTGTTAATTGTGCAATTCAAAAATAAAAATGAACATTATTATTATCATTATTATTATTATTATTATTATTATTATTATTATTAGTAGTAGTAGTAGTAGTAGTAGTAGTAGTAGTAGTAGTATATTGCTATTATTTTTTATTTGTATTTTTTACAGAAAACAAAGTTGTTTTTTAAGCCTGTGCTATAGTAACATGCTTAATGCATTTATAAACTTCATTTGATGCATTTTATGATTAATAGTGATTTTAAGTAATTGGTTATTAATTATAGTATTTTAAAATGTTTTTTATAATAAATACACATTTATTTATTTATTTATTTATTTATTTATTTATTTATTTATTTATTTATTTATTTATTTATTTATTTATTATTTATTTATTTATTTATTTATTTATTCTGGCCAGAAAACACATTTGGTCGACTCCCTGCAGTAGCATTACTGACTCTCTAGGGTCCGCCAATTCCCTGTGGACACAACGCTATCAATACGAAATGCTACCACAAGATGGCAGATAATTCTTAGTTGTCCACCTAAGGGGAGAATTTCTCTGAACAGAAAAAAACCTCCTTTGTTTAGAAACATTCATGTTTATTGCACTTCATTGACTTTGTGCTAAAATCCTGGTGTTCTTTCTGTATGTGAAGAGCTTAAAGGGATAATTCACCCAAAACTGAAAAATCTGTTGGCCTTTCTTTTGTTGAACACTAAAGAAGATATTTTGAAAAGCCGGAAACCTGTAACCATTGACTTCCATAGTATTTGTTTATGTCCTTTCCTATGGAAGTCAGTGATTACAGGTTTTCAGCTTTCTTTAAAATATCTTGAGAATAAAGAAACTCATAAAGGTTTGGAACCACTTGAGGTTGAGTAAATAGTGAGTTAATTTAAATTTTTGGGTGAACTTGGGTGTATGTGACCGGTCCCTCAGAAGTTTATTTTCTCCGTTTTGTCTTATGTCTATCTACAAGTATCTCATAAGCCTCCTGGATCTGAATAAACATCTGCTGCGCTTCTTCTTGCCTTTTGGGGTTGTGGTCTGGATGCCACACTTTAGCCAGTTCCCTGTAGCTGCGAGTGATCTCCTCCAGAGAAGCCTCTTCTGGTAATGATAGTATCTGTTTTTAAGAAAATATTATGAGGATTAAATAAATATCTACCATCCCATTTCATATAAAATCGTGAAAAGTGAAAAGTGCCCCATATGCTACTGACCAATTAAAACTAGGCCTTCTGAACTCACCTTCAGTGCTTCCATTTCTTTCTTACTAAACTCATTAAGAATTATTTCAAGCATCTTCCTCCAGCTTTCCTCATAGAAACCTCCTCCTGTTAAGAGGCATAGCAGACGATATGGCAACAGGAGAAAATACTCCAGGACCCCTTTGAGCCATGGAAAGAACCAGAAGAAATCAATCAGGGCCGCTATGCAGTCCGATATGTAGTACAGTGTAGCAGTGGTGTTGTGGAAAACACAGTATCCCAGCGGGGCAGAGAAAGCCAGCACTCCTAAACTTAGACGATACAGACGAGGCCCTTGGGAAGATTCACACCAAGCAGGTTAATTAGACACAACTGATGTAACACAAAAGTCTTTGGACTGAAAAACGTACACATATGGGTAACACTTTTACAATAATGTTTCATTTGTTAACATTATTTTCATTTGCAGGAATTATTTTACAATAAACCGTACTTCCACAGCATTAATTAATTTTAAATCAACTTTTACTTATACATCTTTCGAATACCCATGAATTTAAATTGGACAAATTTTTTATTATCATTTTATGCAGTATTTATTATAATTTCTTTTTCTAATTCATTTACCTTCATATTCTTTAATCAAATGAAGCTCCCTGCCTCGTCTAATGCCTTACAAACTGTAAAACCCAACAGTCAACTTTATCAAATAAATTTGTGTCATTAACTCAAAATTTACTGAAAGTTAATTGTACTGATTTGAAAAGAGTTTTGAACTCAGTGTTGAATGTATTGAGTTCCTTAAATACTTCATTACTTCAACTTAAATGGAGTAAGTTCACAGTACTTGTATAGATGAGTTGTTTTTAACTTAAATGGTTTGTAGCAAATGGTTTCCTCGGGTGGTTTGAGTTGCCTTAACTAATTGGGTTTTACAGTACTCAGTTGGTTTGAGTTCTCTTTATTTATTGGGTTTTACTGTGCTCAAATTGCTTCGTTTATTCAAATGGATTAAGTTAACAGAACTCATTAGGATTAGTTTTAAAATTAAATGGTTTGTTGCAATCGGTTTCCTCAAATAGTTTGAGTTACCTTAACGTTTTGGGTTTTACAGTGTAGAAATCGGATTTATTGAAATATTATGCAAATTACACTTATCATACAAGTTTATGTTTGGATTTTACATATGTGATATATTCATTCATTCATTTTCTTGTCGGCTTAGTCCCTTTATTAATCTGGGGTCGCCACAGCGGAATGAACCACCAACTTATCCAGCACATTTTTACGCAGCGGATGCCCTTCCAGCCGCAACCCAATTCTGGGAAACATCCACCCACTCATTCATTCACACACTCATACACTACGGACAATTTAGCCTACCCAATTCAACCGGACCTCATGTCTTTGGACAGTGAAGGAAACCAGAGGAAACCCACGCGAACGCAGGGAGAACATGCAAACTCCACAAAGAAACATCAACTGTTCGAACCAGCGACCCAGCGACCTTATTGCTGTGAGGCGACAGCACTACCTACTGCGCCACCATATGTTATATATCCAACATTTATTTAGAAATATGTGGCCTAAAATGGCCATGATATAATATACATACAATTTAAAGGTCCAATTAATTCCTAATGAACAAATTCAAGTTTTGCACATTTTTTCTCCACATGGTTAAACATCGCAATAGGAAGGAAAAGATGAACACCATTTCCATTTTATGCTGACATCTATGCTGAATTTTAAAGGCACAGTATGTAATTTTCTAGCATATTTACAATTACAACAAACATAGGTGTAGATTGATGATGGCGTGACTGAATGTGGAATCATGGGTGTTATCATTTTCATTAAATCCAAAGGGACTCCTGCAGAAATCATGTTCATAGATGAGTTAACATATTCAATACTTATTATCATGGTAAAATGAAGCAGAGTAAGGCTGAAAGATGTATACAGTAGAAGCTAAATGAGAACTGTTGAAGCAATTGCTGATGAGAGATGAGCAGGACACAGCAAGCAGAGGAATTGTTTTATGCCACAGTCGACCACTTCCAGTTTTTCTGGTTGTGTTCACGTGGTGACAAAGCAGCACTGTTTTATCAAACTGAATAGATTTTAACATTCTAATATAATGCTGCTCTGTGTGGTTAATGAAACGCATTAAAACTTAATAAAGTGTCTTTGGTGTTTTTCTGTTTTCTGTCAAACCACACTGGCACAAAGGCAGAAGTTTAGTTCCTTATCATATGTTTTTTTACGTTGTCTGGGTAGTTATATTATTGTTTTTCAGTATTAATCTTGATAAGAATATAGTTGCAGTTATAGTTCTGTGAAAGAGTAGTGTAAGGACGTACAAATGATAATTCGCTCATCTTAAATTTGTTAGCGTGGTTCATTCCATTGTGGTGACCCCAAATTAATAAAGGGACTAAGCCAAAAAGGAAATAAATGAATAAATGAATTTGTTGGTGTTTTTCAGGCTTCTAGACTTTGAAATATATTTTCTCTGAACGCATCCCTTGCTATTTATTTAATAATTTATTTATTTACTTACTTATTTACTTTTTTTTAAACCACACTGGAAATTGAGAGTTTGGGATTTTATCAGCCATAACATGGCATTACTAGTTTAAATTGCTTATTTCTTTGGATTTAAATATTCTTCAAAACATTTTGTACAATGGAAGGCAAAATATATAACACTGCTCTAGCGGTTTTACTATAATTTAGAAATCTTACATCTTGAGCCTTTTAGATTCAACTTTTGGAAACAACATTTTGTGGCCTTGAAACATTTGGAAATAGGTTTTAAAATGTACGTTTTAAAAATGTTAAAAATGAAATGTTTCAGTTTCTGTGTAAATAAATAAATGCAGATCTGATAAATGATGATGCTGTGTACATGTGTAATATATCTTTAATCTGTGCAAAAGTACTTGACAAACTTTTTATTTATTTATTTTTTTACAAACCAACTAATGTCCTGTCATGCATGATGCAGTGTTTTTAATCATTTTTTCAACGATCAGTTTGAATGTGTGAACAATGTTGTAGTTTTAAGCACATTTTGTTTAGAAAGCATGCATCATGTAACATTATTGTAAAATTTTTAGAACCAAAAATAACAAAGGTTAATAAATGCTTTATTTGCTAAATGTAAAGTTCAGAAAATCTCTGTGTTGTCTGAAATGTTATTATAAAGTGTTTTTCTCCGCCAGTTATTTTATCTCTTCAGTTATTTCGCTTTAAAAGCAATGAAAAAAAAACTATTCATCACCATAAAAGTGAAATTATTGAAGAGCCTGAGAAAAAAAAATGCTCCTTTTAGAAGAATAGTTCAGAATTTACTTAGAGGCTTTTGCATCTGAACTTTTTAAATGCTTTGTTTACTCAGTGTTTGCTTGTGTAATGCAAAGACTAATATAAACAAATAAGCCCTTATTATAAAGTGTTACCAAAGTGTGCACATTAATAGTGCATATTCTCACCCAATGGCTCTGGCCTCAGAGGTTTCAATGTGTTGTGCTGCGCAGAGGTGACACTGCCAGCTATGCTGATGGGCAGAGGAGAGAGATTGCTGCCGTAGAAGATGGATGATGTGATGACGCACGTAATGAGAGTCTTGTGAAGGTTTGAGGTCTGCTGGCCCACAGAGGACACCAGATGCACACCAGCAGCAACACTCAGAGGCAACACTAGGAAGTAGAAGAAGCTGAGAGAACTGAGGCTGATTAAAGCCACTGAACCAAAATAAACACCCACGCAAATCTGACCGACAAACCGAATCAGGCCTACTGGTGGTGGTGGAGTGGCACCTGGATGTCGAACACGGCCTTTCTCAACGTCACGGTTGGCTTCACTCACGTAGGATGGGATACGGAAGAACTCTCTTGCCCAGCCAATGCCAAAGCCACCAAAGGTCAGTATCCAAAGAAGAGCATGGCTGTCTCTGCCCAGGTAAATGTGATGAAGGCCGAGTGGGCCGCCCATTGCCCACAAGGCATACGTGATCATGAGCTTCTTAGCCATGAGGTCATTCTAGCTGCACACAGAAGCTGAAAAAAGTTGTAATGAGGGAAGGTTTTTACTCTGGAAAAAAAGATGTCTGCTACACAGAAAGAATATTCAAAGATGATTTCTTGGGTTTACATTTTTTTTAAGTTAAGTGGTTGTAAACTGAATTTAAACAAACAAATTAAGTTAAACTTTACTAAATTCAATTTGTTTATTCAAATTCAAGACACATACATTGTTTTTAACAATTTTGCAGACATCATGTTTTTTCAGTGTACTTGTTTCATTTGACCTAAATTTATTTGTGTTGGATTCACTTAAATATTTGAAAAATTCATTTTTATTGGAAGTACACAAATAATTTGTGTTGCATTAACTGAAACTTACAAATGACATAAATGTTGAATGTTGAAACTGTAATTGTATGTGTTTTTGAGTTAGAGGAAAGACTAATATTTAATATTCAGTTATAATGGTTGACATATACCTGAAATGTAATCCATATGTCTTGGGAACACATGATTTATTTATTTCTGTATATATGGCTTTTCATTTGTTTTTCTGTTGATGTTTGACTTATGTTGAAGTTTTTGTGGTTACCTGTGCACTGAAAACATCATCTTTTGGTTAAATTGTATTATATGTATTGTTGTTTTATTCAAAAAAAAAAAATACTTGGAAGTTAAAAAACTGAACTGAAACACACTGACAAATTTAAGAAAGCATGTATATGTAAAATGATGGTTGCTTTTTAGTGCATTACTGATTAGCCAACAGCATATTTATGAAAATTGCTTCATGATAAATTAAGGACAAGCATGTAGTTTTTAAAGGAATATAGGTGCAACCAAAAATGCTAAATCTGTTTAAAGCTGCTGTATCTTATATTTTGTCATACAGTTGAACTTTTATATGTTTTTTTAATCTTTTGGGTCTTATGTTAAGAGCAAAAAGAGTACTTTTAGTAAATGCAGTATAACTGTATTCCACATATAAAGTTAAATAACATGAGGCTGAGTAAATTATCACACAAATATCATTTCAGTGAATTATGCTTTTGGTAATCTAATCTCGCTCGCTCATTTCACAGACATCGATGGATTTTAACTTACAGAATCATGCAACTCACAATTCACTTACCTGCAGGACGGACTGAAGCTTCATTCACACCCCAAAATTTTTTTGAACACTCCTTAGCATTGAAAATGTAAGAATGCATAAAACAAATTTGTTTTGAAGTTTCAAAGTAAACTTTAACTTTAAATCATTTACTTTCTGAAAATAATGTAACCTATGGACTTCCGTGTTTGCTTCAATATGGACTTTGGTTTGATGATGATGACTACCTGGTTCATAAAGAGTAAACTTTGATTTACCATCTTTGGAAACATTTGAGGAACAGAGCATTATGCTAAATAATAATTTTTAAAAATCAGTAATTAAACAGTTTTTTTTCCCAAGAATTATCATTACAGGGAAGACATAAACATGCTGTAGTGGTCCATAGATCTTTACTTTAAACATTTCTGTTACACTACTTGATAGTAAGTAAACATTCATTCAAAGCAAAAGACTAATATGTAAAGTCTTGCTGAGACTGAAGGAAAGTGGAAAAGAAAACACTGGCTAATGGTTTACAGCTCTCATTAAAATATTATTTTTGAGTTCTAAAGAGAAAAAGAGGGTAGGAAAATTATGACACAATTTTGCTTTTGAGAGTGAACTGTTCCTTTAAAAAGGCTTATAAACAGAAGAAAAAAAGCATTTGAACAATGAGGATACATTTGGATATTTTAATGTAATTTATTTGGTAATTTTTAATGTCAGCGGAAATGTAAATAGATAAAAATAACTAAAATAACAGATAAATAATGACAGTAGTTTAGTTACCTACTGGACTTTTTTTGCACAGATTGGGCAGTTATAGTAATGTTTTTCGGTGTACGAATGTTCATAAGAATACAGATGTAATTAAGATTGTGTGAAAAGGCAGTGTAATGAAATATAAATGATAATTTACTCATCTTGAGTTTGTTGGAGTTTGTTGGGCTTCAAGACCTTAGAATATATCTTGTCTGAATGCATCCCTAGACACTTATTTATTTATTTATGCATTTATGCATTTATTTATGCATTTATTTATGCATTTATTTGTTTTTAATTTATGTAGCCTACTTATTAATTTAGAGATTTTTTCTTAACAAATGAGAGTCATTATATATTCTATGATATACAATTTTTCATTACACCTTCATTAAACATAAAACGATTCCAACTTTTATAATGGTGTATTTTATACAGTATATGTGCACTTCTGATCGAGGTGTCATGAGTCCGCCTCTTCCTCCGCCCACAGTCCAGCCCCTCCAGTAGATGGAGTTTGAGTTTGAGAGCGAGTGTGTGATTCATTTGAGCATCTGTGAACACGCTGGCTCGCGGAGTTAACGACGTTTATAATTTGCTTGTTAGCATGTAATCATTATTAAGCATTTACTCAACTCAATATAGAAAAAAAAAACTCGACTATCTCGCTGACTTCAGTTGGAGCTCCCGCAATGAGGTGAAACGCTTAGGTTCGCTTTAACGCGAGGCAACTTTCCACGTAGGCTAGATTGTCTTTTCAGAGATTCAAATGTTTTACAACTTATAACCAAGACATGGTTTCAAAGCATGGAAACAGAAGACGTGACGGTTAGAGAGCAAATATTCCACGACCGAGTCCGAGAAACCATTGTAAGTTTTTTTTTCTCTCTCTGCAGCTTTTGTTTGCATAGTATCATGAAGTAGCGTTTGCAGTGTAACAATTTAACTGTGCCCTTGTGTTTGTCCTAATGGAATTCAATAGCAATTGATTGGTTATGTGGTTGTGGGGAGGTATCACTGGAAATGTAAATCTGTGCACAAGGACTTTATGTTCTCTCATAAATTCGTGATTTCACTAAGTGTTTGTCTTCAAAGAAGACGTTTTGTAAAGTAATATATACTCATAGGCCTCCATTTACTTTACTCAAAACTAATGTATAGTGATTCCGAGCTGTGAAATTTAACAACGATCATCACATTGACCAGTGTAAAAAGTCTTTTTTAAATAGAAAAAGAGATGAGACTTTTCAGCTTTGTGTTTTTCTGAGTTCTTTTAGGAAAATAAGATATACTTTTGGCATAATTAGTATTTTATTTTTTACACATAATGGAAGTAACTGAACTTCAGACCCGGGGAACCTTAGGAAGACACTTGGAGTTAACCTTTACTCCTTCACAATGATGTGTCTCACTCAGCATTTTACTGCAACATGTTTGGTGCATACTTTAAAACCTACTAATCTGTAAGATCATGTAATTCAATTGTAAAAAATAAAAAGAAGTATCTCCTAAAAATACAGATTAAATCAAGCATTTATATCTAAATGTAAAGCAGGAGGTTAGAATTATAGTCTTGAATTGCAAACGCCTTTGCTTTTCTTTGCCAACAAATGATGATCTTTTACATCTGTTTTCAGATTAAAATGTTGCACTCTTGTTTTTGTCTGTGATGCACAGCTTTGGCTAATCCTCCTAGAACATGTGAAATGCTTCCCTTAGTGAAATGCACAGATGGGTCACACTAGATAATGTAAATCAGACCTATTGTCCCCCTTCAGGCTGTGGGCACCTCTGAGCTCATGCTGACATGCTTATTGATCTCTGCGGCTGATGCTTATCTGGGATTTAATGTTTAAATCAGTGGTTTTCAACTGGTGGCTCGTGACCTAAAAATGTGTTGGTGGTAGTGTGGTCTGATATAGGATCACAGATTACAGGAAAAAAACTTGTGTTGATTGCTAATTAGCAAAAGATGAATTGAAACTAAGCACACTGTATATTTGTTGTTATGGGAACAAAATATCATATTTGAAAAGGGTGGAGAAACTGCTTCACATAGCTTTTGTTCTTGAATTTGAATACTGCGTAAAAGCAGATTGGCTTCTATGTCACTCTGTAGTATGACTAATACCAACCGAATATTTGGCTCAGTGATTCCTCACTGTGATATGCTGATAATTGCTTCTGCTCTTGTTTATGCATTTAGATTACCATTTCAGCATGTGTGGTTTCACTAAACTTCTATTTTATTTTTAGTTGTGCCAATAAAGTGTTTTACAAATGTGTTTTAGTTGTAATTAATGTAAAATCTGTATTCTAAAACATTCAGAATCGCTGATTTCATCGAATCTGTCTATGAGTTTATTGTTTGTTCTTTCTATAGTTCATTTTTCAGGTCTTCATGGTGTGATTTGTTCATTGGCTTGTTCTTTTATCTATTTTTTTAAACTATTGCTGTATCAATCATGTGTTGTCACTTTAGAAGATAAAGGTTTACAATATTGCAGTGAAATGAAATGTCTTCAGGCCTTCAAATGACAGGTTTTCTATTAAATATCAGCTCAAAATTCTTGACATTCCACAGTAATGCGTTTCTGTATTCCAATGACATTTTTGAGGAATGCACTAATGTAACAACTTACATTCTAAATTTATGTAATTTGATTACAGTTACTAAAGTCAGTGTAATTGCTTTACTTGGCCTATAAATATAGTTTTTAGAAGAAAAAAATGCTGCTTTTAACTCTTGTTAAAATCTGGCTGCAACATCAGTTAATAAGCATGCGCTTTTAAATTGCTGGAGAACGTGAACTGAACTGAAATGGCTGCTGAGGAGAGTGGCTGCTGCTTCAAGTGGAAATGCAGACATTACTTTGATTTCATTGAACGTAAAAACTAAAATATTGCTGTAAAATGCAGTCTAAAGAGCGTTCAACTGCTCTCACTTTAACCAGCAACTTTTTCAAGCACTTGAAACGACTACTCGTCACCAAGGAGGAGACCAGTGCCCCAAAACACAGTGGCCCAACATTTAGGTAGACCAAGTACCTCAGACGAACACTGCAGTACATTTTCATACTTTCAGGTTTGGAACAAGGTGAATGATAAGAGAATTATGTTTTGAGCGAACTTCTTAAGTTTTTTGAGTTTGTCAAACTGCTGTGATCAACCCATTGTAATGCTTTTTAAGTGAATATTAAATCACTGAAAGAGCTGCAGTTTATTTAGTATTTTATAGGTATATTTTGTGTTTTAAAAGTAACTTCAAAGTAAAGTAATTGGTAATCTGATTACTTTTTACATGAAGTAATTGGTAATGTAATCAGATTACAATTTTCCAGTAGTAATTATTAATTTCTAATCTATACATTTTTAAAATTAACTTACTCAACTCTGCAGGCGACATATACTAAGCTGAAAATCTATTCTAGGTTTTTTGTGCAAAAGGTTTTTTGATACAATAAGATCTCTTTTTTTTAATTTAGTTATACATTTAATAATCAGACAAGCAATGCACCAATAACTATTTTTGTTTGTTCTGTTGTTTTTTCTGTTATTTTTGTCATCTTTGTTATATCATTCAATTGTTTTAAGTTGATTTTGAAGGTATATTATTCCAAGACAACAAATATGGAAATTTATGAAACAGGGTCATCTAGGTAGTACTTCGAGTTATCTTGACCACCCATGGATAACATGGATATTTATATGCTTGTCTTTCACATTGCTGTTTTTGACTGTTTGGCACCATTTTGTGAATTATTTGAATAATATGTAGCTTATGCTCCAATCAGCCGTTTTCGTTTCTTTCTGCTTTGCGTTTTATTACATTTTATTTATTAATTATGGCTCACAGCAATGTTTTGTCTTAATTTGTATATTTTGTGGTAAGAAATGCTGAAAAGCCTGACAAGCTTATCAGCAGTCCGATGCGTTAATGCCTTATTTCTAATGCCTTAAATCTATTTGATTAGTTTTATCTATTTTCATATAATTTGTTTTCTTCATTCAATCGGTCATTGTATCGTTCTTCTCCTCTATATACTGCATTGTAGTAGAATTAATCTTTCAATGTGTCATTCTTTCTGTCTGCCGTTATATTGTTTTTTTATTTTATTTATTTTTTTACATTTCCCACATTTCCACTTGTCAACTAATACACAATTTATGACATTGTCACAGCTTTGTACTTGGATGCTCTTAGACAACCTGGTAGAGGAAGTAGCTGATTTGGCATGATTCCCTCTCTGTAGTTGAGCAAGGAATGTTTGTGTGTATTAATATTCGAATCTGAACATGTTTCTTAGTCTTCATCAATACAGGGCTTTGTACCCACATCTAACAGTGATCAATAGTGTAAACTAAAAAGGGTCCAGTTTGAGTTTTTCATCTGATACTTCGTTTTAATCCTCACTAATAGGGTGTTTAGGTCATCTGAAGAAACTGACCTGTAGTACATCATCTGTAATTAAAGGGCCTCATCACATGATCTTGTAATGTCACTTTGTAATTAATTTGAAGTACATTAGTTAAAATCCTTGACTTGTTTGATGACGTGCTTATTTATGCATTTATGACATATGTATTTTATGATTCATAACGCAGTAAAAAACGTGGAAAAAATTATTTAGGGGTCGGAATTAAATAAAAAAATAAAAAAAACTAACTGGTCCAATTTGCCCTTAACAGCTTTAATCAAATCAATTATTAGTATTTTTGTCTTGCATCCGGCCTTCTCCTAATCTATTCTAGCACACCACAAGTGTTGTTTTCTCATTGTGCCAACTTCTGGTCCCTCTAAAGCTGACTGTTTTGCTAAATAGACTGTTTCACTTCAAGACATGACTTGTGTATTGCTCCAGCCAGGTCTTGTTGTGAAGTGAGTATTAGCCAGAGCAGATGAATGAGCCTAAAGATTCAGAGGGCTTGAGCACATGCAGGGTTTAACCAGCCAGATTGGTCAGCAAATACTGGTCAGCTATGGGATGATCTGGTTTCTGATTGAAATTATGATGAAGCTCGCATTACATGGCAGTAATAATGATGACCCATTTCAATAGAGAGGTTTGATTACATGGCCACCATTATTAAAGTAAACTTAGTTTCTTATTTTGAGGTTAACTGCCTTCAACAGACTGGTCTAGGACTGGTTATTGTTGTCTGTCCATTTGCTTGTTTGAAAGGATTTAAAGGGATTGAACACCAACAATGACATTTCTGTGGTCATGCTGCTCCACACCTGTGTGACATGACGTTTTTTTTTTTGACGTTTGAAAAACAAAAGAAGATATTTTCACGTCAGTAGAGGCTAATGTCGTTTTAGAATTGACAAAAAAGCCTGAGGTAATTCTTCAGGCTTTCTTTGACTGGCATTACAATGAGGCCGGACATGTCATTTCATGTTGTATATTATTGACTGTGCTCTGTTAAGCAAACTGTTAACTCTTTGGTTCAGTGTAGGGCTGCACGTTATTGGAAAAATCAGACATTGCGATAATTTATTTTTCTGCGATTAAATATTGCGATATGGGATATTGTCATAAGATAACTTGAATAGCACTTTTTGGTGGTTTCCTATAGAGTCAGTATTCAGGTACTGAAACTGAACAATCACAGTGCAAAAAATGATTTTCTTCTCTTGTTTCTAGTCCAAATGTCAAAAAATTAAGTAAAAATATTGTTATGTTTTCAACTTATCTTACCTTTTCAAGTTTTAACTTGAAAAAACAAAACAATTTGTCAGTGAGGCAAGTAAAATAATCTTGTTTTTGTTTTACAGTAGACATTTAGACTTGAAACAAGACAAAATGCTAAGTAAGAAAACTTTTTTTTACATAAATCAGACAAATTCTATATAAAAACAGTAATTAAATACAAATCTGCAGCTCCTGGTCAACCAAAATTCAGACTAAACATTGCATATCTTTGCAATGTGACTATTGCAGATGAATACAAAGAGATGTCGATCCAGAAACGATATATTGTGCAGCCCTAGTTCAGCGCATGCTGTTTTAGCCAAAAGAAAACAGACAAATGCTTAGCAAACAGATGAGTGTGAACTCATTTCAAAGCTCCAGTGACATGGATCCCCCCCCCCCCACACACACACATCTATTATTTTTACTGCTGTTTGCACTTTGAAGACAATCCCAGCTTCCTTTCCCCTCCCTCATCACTCTTCCTCTGACTGTCATTCTTCCTCTCTTTTATGGCACATATGGTTACTTTTCCCCCATCAGTTCAGTCAATATCGATAAAAAAACTGATAAGGAATATATATCTTATTAATTGTTTTGGAGTATGTGGATTTAATAATATCTTAAATTAGATTAAGGGTTAATTAGAATTACTGCCATGCAGACAAATCTCAGTGTAACTGTCTTGCACACTAGGAGCTGTCCTTTTTGTTAAAAAAAATTGGTGTATGAATGTGTGCATTTTAAGTTTTCTACAGTTGAATGACAATTAAGAAGGTGAAAATTAAGTGTGGCATTAACATAAGGTTAATTGTGAAAGACTCATCTAAAATCCTCCAAATTATTTGACATGCCTTTTCTCTTTGGCAAAATTGCATGCTTCATTAATGAATCAAAATAATTATCATTTTTATCTTTTCTGATCTGGTCAAATGTTATTTATTAGCACTATTATTCTTGTTGGCTCTTTACAATTATTATGAATTATTACTATTGTTAATATTCATTTGTTGATTAATTAGTCCCTTTATTAATTAGGGGTCCCCACAGTGAAACAAATTGCCAACTTATTCATCTAGTTTTAAATAGCGGATGACCTTCCAGCTGCAGCCCAGTAATGGGAAACATCCATGAACACTCATTCACACACATACACTTCGGCCAGTTTAGTTTCTTCAATTCACCTATAGCGCACGTCTTTATACTGTGCGGGAAACTGGAGCACCCGGAGGACACTCATGCCAACAAGGGGAGAACATGCAAACTCCACAAAAATATGCCAACTGATCCAGCTGGAACTTGAACCAGCTACCTTCTTGCTGTAAGACGACCACTGAGCCACCATCGCCCCTGTTGTAATTATTATAAATATTATTTTTAACATCTATAATTTATTAAATGCATTATCTATATTATTTATAATACTATAAATAGTAGTTGTAAACATTTTAGTTATAACTAGTGTTGTCATACGTAAATCCTGCTACTTTGTTGTAGATGTTATTTGCATATTTATGATTATTAATTTTATTTTAATATAGTTCATTAATTATATTGATGTATTAATTAAAGTCAAGAATATTAATTACATCAATTTAAATATGACTACCTAAGTACTGTAAATCTCTCTCTATATATTTCATTGTGTATCTTTACTATAATCACTCGCCTAATCTCAGTTGTGACTGGTTTAACTCTTCATTTGTATTTGAGCTGTAATCTTCACTCGCCATCTGTCGCTGCTACTGTACCTTCATTCTGGAAACTGTAATGTGGGTGTTCATTCATTACATATTCAAGACTTCTAAGGACAGCTGGCTAAGATTATTTAGTTTTTTCTTTCACTATTTGCTTTTATATACTAAGACACAGAATGCAATATGTTAATCGTAAATATGAAATGTATTATTATGAAATCTTTGACCAGGACTGTCGTGTCACCATTCTGTGTGCTATCATTAAGTACCAAATGTCCTTGATTAGGAGCTCTTGTGTCACACAGCCATAAAGGCAATCTGCACTGCGCACAGCAGCGTGTATCAGTGATAACCGAGCTGTGTTGGAGTGTGCTTCATGACCTCTGCTCCGGTACAGGTTTCCCTTTTTAACATGTCCTTGATAACCTAAATTGGCAACGCATCTAAACAGCGCATTTGCACAGCATGTCTTGTAGCTGCCTGTTCACGGTTGTGTTGCTCATATTTACTCCATGACTCATACTGCAGATCTCTGACAGAATGTATTTCATCTCTGACACTCTGCAAAGTGACAGTAACGCCCAGTATTCTGTGAATGATTGTGATTTATTCATTGTGGAACATTGAAGAAAAGCTTTTGAAGAATGTTCCTGCTGAAATATCATCTTACATATGAGATTTGGGTGGAGACCATGGGTAGGGATTTTAAAGTATCTAAAAGCATTGTAAGGAAGGGGTGGGTGTTTCTATTGTAAAGTGTTTGTATAATAAAAAAGGAATTTTAGTTTAATTTGCCATATTGAAATCTGCATAAGCTAACACTTTTTAGAGTATTTATTTAATTATTATTATAATATCCCTTTTGTACTTTATGGTACCGATACTTTATGGACCGATAAATGGAGTTATATCGAATTGCGATAAAAATTGTGTCAATAACAGTGATAAGCTCGGGACGTTTTTACTCTATATTGATCTAAGAGCCAAGCACACAGCTGAAATTGCAAAAATGTCACGGTCACCAGCGATGTAGCTTGTGCAGATCACTAACAGACTACAAATCTGCTGGTATATAAACTACAAGTTCCAGTCATGCAACACACCCACACACGCCTGCTCCAAGTCTCTATTGATTACACTCCCACAGCTGATGCTGCTCATAGACTGATTACACACACACACACATATATATGGCTCACTTTGACACTCTTGTTATACTGTTTGTGAACATTATAACACGTTTTACTTGCTTTGCCGTGTTTTTGACCCCCGCCTTGTTTGTTTACGTTGTCTGCTTTCTGCCTATACTGACCATTTGCCTGCTTATTGACCACAACTCTGGATTGCCTGTATACATCTGTTTGCTCCTGTGTTGAATATATAAAGCATCATCTGCAAAGGTTCAAAGTGCAAAATAAGTGGAGATTTTGTGTTTTGAAAGAAAAAGATTATTTTAAATTTGCACAATTTTGCAAAAGGCCAGTCTATTGTTTTCAATGGCTTTCACAACAAACAATGTGTGCTTTGACCTGCAGACAGTATAACACCTAGGGGAGTTTGGTTAATGTCAGGTTTAGAAGATGTTGTTATCTGTGCTACAAAAGCAAACCCACTTTACAGCACTTCCATAGGACGAAGAGGACACTAGTTTGAACTGATGCAGTAAATTCGTTAGTGCTGTTTAAAAAGTGCCAAGGAGATAAAATTCAAATTTGGAAATTGGCAATAGATTTCAATTATCGCTGTAAACTCAAGACTAAGCACAACAATCCAGGCCATCTGACCAATCAGATTAGACATTCAGGAGTTGCATCTACCTAGTCACTTGCAGTTCCTTTTACTTTTTTGATCAAATTGCTATTAAATCTTGAAAAGAGCAGGTTTAAATGCGTATTTGAGACAGAATTTGACCACTTAAGGAAGTGGCCTAGGAGGAATTCCAGATGAAACTGGACAGGTCTAAATGCATCTGCTTGTTGAGACCACAAATTTATATTTTCCTTCTCCAAAATGTAAACAAAATAAATGTGAGGCAGGCTATATTACATAGTCTGATTTAACAGCACAAATGCAATGCAATGCCACAGATGACAGTGGCACAGTGTTCCGTTTTTTTTTTAATTATTATTTTTATATGTATATTTTAAACACAAATTAATGTAAAACCATTAGAGTGTTGAATAGTGTCTTGCTCATATGGCAAAAATAGATTGTCTCATTTACCCTATATTGACAGTAATTGTTGAGTCTGGTGTTGTTAAACTGGAACATAAGTAAAGAACAAGGCCTTCTTAAAAAAATCATTTGTATGCCGAATGAGATGTATAGTTTGTTTCTGTAACTGCTTAAGAAGCTTAAGTTGATGTAGCCCAGATAAATTTGTATATAGCATGGGATTTAAAGAGTACATCTATATCCACTTATGTGGCCAAATGTAAACTAAGCCGTTTTCACAAATCAGATAATTTTCCAATCAGATCCTTGAATTAACTGGTTCACACAGTGACTGTTAACATGGACATCAGTAATTAAATTATTTGTTTTAATCTGAATAAAAGAATAATCTGGTTAAGGTGTTTACATGATTTGCTTTTTGAACGTTCCTTTCATGATCCCGTTTTACATGTTATAGCAGATGATTCAATTAACGTCATTGTGTCACCACGCTATCCATGTTTCCTCCGGAGTTTCGTTTAATTTCGGGTCTTTCATTTTTAATTTGTCAACTTTAACTTCAGTCTGGCAGTTTCACTTTCATTCAGGAACATTTCATGCATGCCCCCGTGACAAACAAAATATTGCATGCAAGTATGAACTGCTGGAAGAGTGTTGTTTTAATGGGATTTGATATTGCACGCCATAAGGAAAAACCTCCGCATTTCGCTATGCTGTGGTCCTTTACAGACTTGGTGGGTGCAGAGAATTGTGTCAAACAGCCGTATATGTATACACTATCCTGTCACAAATGCATCACAGTAATAGTTGGATTGCGGTCTTTACTTGTCTGTACTGCACTTCAATAATGTGACTAAAATCAGCATACTCTAGTCTTTATTCAATTTCTGTTTAGTTTCATTATGACCTTAATTGGATTAAGTTAGTCAAAAATCACTGTTAACATGGTAGACTCTTAACCAGAGTATTGTCTTAATCATACTAAAATCGGATTATTGGTGTCCATGTAAACAGAGAGAAGGGAGATGCTGCTGCACTGTATTATGAGGAAAAGTCCTACTGTATAAAAACTTTAAATCTAAAATGCAAACCTTTTAAAATAAAAAAGGAGCGTTTCAAATGATTAGCTACATGTTATAACCACATGTTGTCTGTTAATCCTGTTTTCCGATTACATTGATGTTCTTCTCTTTTGTGTCTTTCAGATTTGCGTGCTGCTTTTCATTTGCCTGTACATCTTGTCTCACTTCATTCTGACTCACTTTAAGAAGAGTGCTGAGTTTGTCACTGGTAAGTTTACCATCGTCCATCAACAGTTGTTTGGCTTCGTGTTATGCAGCTCTTCAAAACACACCTGTGATTTCACTACAGCTGCACAGAATTTATACACCCTGACTATTTGTTGGTCAGTTTGACCTGACACGGGTCATGCTCCTGCGCTTTCTAAAAATGCTTCGTTCAGCTGCCAAATATGCAGCCGAGGGTTAATATTACTGTTGTTGATGAGTAGTGTTAGTTGTTTTTAATTTTTGTTTAATGTTAATTTTTGTTTTTTTGAAAGAGTCAATGGTTATGACTGCAGCTGACAGTGCTTATGTAACATTGAGGGAGGGCTGCAGTGTGGATGAGGAATGTTCCCGTGAGATAAACATAGGCCCCCTGCCCGAACATTGCCTGAGGTTTCATAAGAGAGAACTACCTCATGTTTTGGTCTACACCCCGTAATTGAGCTCTCCGCTCTCTCACAGTTCTGCTGTACCTGCTGTCAGTGGAAAATCTGGCCAATGTGATTTATTTTTCCCTCCTTTTTTTGGCATGTGACATCTTAAAAAAACAGCAGGCTTGTTTAGACTGCGCTGAAAAAAAAATGATTCATTGGATTTACTTAATTTAAGGTTACTTAGAATTTGTAGCAAATGATTGATATGGGCTAAATTTAAACAAACACGTTAAGTTTAACATAACTAAATTTAATTTGTTTGTTTAAATTCAGCCCATATAAATAGTTTGCAACCAGTTACCTTTTAAAAAATGTTGTAAATTCAATGAATCATATTTTTTCAGTGTGCTGAAAGATTGTTGAGGAGCTAATGGGAACGTTGATGAAGCACAACTACTGTGTTCAGGGTTTCACTAAAACGTGTTAATTCTCTCTTTCACAATTTAAGACCTTAAAGGGAAAGTTCAACCAATAATAATAAAATAATACAAACCAAATTCTCATCATTTACTCACCCTAAAGTTTTTTTTTTTTGTTGTTGTTGTTGAACACAAAAGAAGATATTTTAATGGTTGCTGATAACAGTTTGGGACAAGAGAAGGATGAGTAAATGATGGGAGAGTTTGTATTTTTGTGTGAACTGCCCCTTTAAAAAGGCCATAAATCAGAGCACAATGTCTTAAATTTCTGAAGTCATGGCATAAAATGTATAACCTCAATTCAATGTTTGTTTCCCAATATGCACTGTAAAAAAATGCATGATTCCACACAATTTCTTTATGTTGTCCCATAACACACAATGATTAAGTTTGTAAGTACTTCATTGTTTTTGCAAATTTAAGTTGATTGAACATAAAACAATTAAGTTAATCCCCCCCAGAAGGCCACTTTTGTTGGATCTTTACATTTGGCTTTGAACTTAAGACAGAAATACTGCAAAAACAAAGTGAAAAGAGAATATTGAGTGAAAGTTATTTCCAAATTTTAGTATTTGATGAGAAATGAAGTGCCAGTACAACTCGTTGTGCATTTACATTTAAAGAGCATTGATATAATGCGCTCTCAATGGTTAATTTATTTTTTTGCAGATAATTTAGAGTGAATTATATTACTATTAATTTAAATAAGAGTATACAATTAATTTCTTTGTGTGTTATTTTTGTTGATTAATTTCTTATTGCCATTTTACTCTGACCTACATAAAGTTAAAGAGACACAGGGGAAATTGGTTTACACTTAAAGCTGGGTCCCTGTGAGCACAGCTGTTGCTCCGGTCATCACAACCTTTAATAAACATCCATGTAGCACGTTTACATGATCAAAAATTCTAAATCAGTGCGGGGGAACATTCTGTGTTGGACTGACTTAAGAAACATTGCGTAACTAACATCCAGCCAAACCACCACCGTTATGAATATGATACATATTGTAATTGGTAGCACAAACAGAATCATTACACCAAGACTTTTTTCTTTTATGTCAACAAGGCTTTGTTGTTGCCTAGATGTGCAGTAGTCCTGTAGGGTTGCAGCTGTTTCTATAGCTGCATATTGGTTGTTTATTGGATATGTGCAGAAAACCTGTTTTGCATTAAGTTTGGAGCATTCCCAGGAAATGTCACACATTTCTACCCTGCAGCTCTGTCACACAGGGCATGTTTTGCTCTTCTCACTTGAGAATATTTGAGGCTTATTTTACAGTTTCTCTGCCTCATGTTCTCAATACATTTCTATTAGTGTCAGAAAATCCTCTTCAAAAAGATAGTGTTGTCCTTTGTGCAAAAACAAACCAGTGATTAAAAAATGTTTAAATACATTCTGCTAGAAAACATATGTTTACGTCACAGAACTGCTTCCAAGTGAATCCAGGTCACTGTGAATGCTTGTTTTTTTGTTTGTTTTAGTTTCAAGGCTGAACTGTGAGTCTAGACATGATAATGTCTACATCAGAATAGTGTTATTATGCAACTCGTATAATATAACTCATTGGTTTTTCTTTTTCACTCACAGATGACATTGAGGATGCCACTGTCAACAAAATTGCGTAAGTTGTCTTTACCTAAAATCAGTGTTTACTAGGGCTGCACAATATATTGTTTCAGCATCGATATTGCAATGATCGCAGGATTTGCAATGTTGAGTTTGTATCCTTTGCATGTGTTTTTGATGCATGTGATTCTATCATGATTTTAAAAACAGTTAGGTATAATAAATTGTACCATTTGTTACCTTAACTACGATTATTTTATTGAATTATTTTTATTTTTATCATTCAATTGCTGTACTTCAATACTTTTAGACTAGGGATGTGATAACACTTTATTTTAATTGTATCTTTTGATTATATTTATAGATGCTATGCATGAAAATACTTAAATACAACACATGAAAATACAGAAATGCATTGCAAATAGCACAGACCACAACGAAAACATGTCGGGGGACCTTAAGAAGTTTATAGATTGTTGATTAGATTTTATGGGCATGCAAATAGTAAATATTAATTCATCAATCTCTGACTAAACACGTGCATGAAAATACTCACAACACATGCGAATACAGAAATGAACGACAAATGGCACAGACGACAACTAAAATCTGTTGGGGACCCCAAACATTTTATAGATTGTTTATAAGATTTTATAGATGCTGTACCACTGCAGAATCATCCCAATCTAACACTTTAGGTTCTTTCCAAATAGAGATATTAATTCATTTGGTGAAATTGTATTCGTATCACAAATTATATCACAAAATAAATCATGAAATAAAAAATTGCAATGTTGAATTTTTCCAATAATGTGCAGCTCTAGTTTTCACCTTACTCTACATCAAAATTGTTGAAGTTGGCTTTTGGTCCACTTCTAAACCAACTCTGTGGTTTGAAATAAATGTGAACTTAACACAGACCAAAGAACTGTTTACAAACCAAGAATGTGACATAATGTCAAGTTGAGACGATCAAGCAGATAGAGTGCTTTTAATTATTTTTTGTTATAGTTGCATTAATGCACTTTAGTTTAAAGGGATAGTTCACCCAAAAATGAAAATACTGCAATCACATAAGATCAGAAGTTTCTGTCATAAAAACTTTTTTTTATTTTTATTATTATTTAGGCATGGGCAGGTATAAGATTCTGACAATATGATAACACTGTGAAATCGTGATATTTTTATCCAGGATCACCGTATTATGATTACTGCTCTAAAATAAGTTATTTTAAAATGTCTGGATAAAAAAAAAACTTTTCCCACAATGAACACAATACATTATATATTAAGAAACGTTTAAAAAATATTTAGGACCAGTAGCTTTTGATGTAGAGGTTTCTTTTCTGCTGGAGACACTGTTGCCCTAAAAAACTAAATAAAATAGTACTGAAAAACATGTTTAAAAAAACAACTTACTCATACCTTAGGGACGTAGAAACTTTGGTTTTAAAACCTTGACTTTCCAAACCATGGTAAACCTTAAAACCGGTTATTGTCCCATGTCCAGCGGCAGACTAGCCATGTGGAGCACCGAGACATTTCCCGGTGGCCTGACGGTCAATCTAGCCTGCCACCGTGACTCTAGCCTGGTGCGCACCCCCATAACCCCATTCACATAACCCCCACCCCCCTCAGTCTTCATTTACCGTCTCTGCTCTCCTAGTCAGACCATGCCTATTTCGATTCGGTTTGAGCGATGTAAATATGATAAAGCAAAGCTAAAAGTATAAATTTAATTAAATAATATTTATATGGATCAAACCATAAGAGCTAAGACAACTAAACAACAAATATGCACATCCTAAATCAAGGTAGCAACATATCATGGATAAAACACATCTTTTCAAGTATAACTTTTGGCAAGATCAATCTGGCTTCATTCTGGTGTTTAACATTCCTTTTTTTCTCTCTAATAAATTCCAGATGCATAAAATCAGCTCCCACCCTACTCTAGCACTTGACTATCTCATTCCACTCACAAACATGTCCCATTACAGCAGTCAAATGGTGCATTTCACACTAAAACTGAACCGCTTAGGACACCCAACTGCTTACTATCAAGTGTTTTTTTATTAGTCTGCCCTGAATGTTTGTAATTGGACAGTTTGCCCTTTGCTCTCCAGCGTGGCGTTTAACAACTCCCTCCCTTCACAGCTGGCACTCTGTCAAAGTAAAAGGCTGCAAAAACACCTCTTCACCCTTTCTTTGTCTGTTTTTTCCTCTCTCCGCAGGCTTTGGCTGTGCACATTCACACTCTCAGTGGCCGTGTGTGCAGTTCTCCTGCTGCCCATCTCCATCCTGTCCAATGAAGTCCTGCTCACATTCCCTCACAGTTACTACATGCAGTGGCTCAATGGCTCGCTCATCCGTGGTAAATGCACACATGTGCAAATGAACAATTAACATGTGGATTTGTGACTGTGACAGAGAGGTTTTCAATGAGAGTCAATAGAGTTGTCTGTCTGATCAATTAAATCTTTGTGAGGTACTCGAGCAGTATTTTGTTGCCTAATCTGTACAGAAATTTTTATGTGTTTTTCCCCACAAGGACTTAGTGTGGGATCACATTGTGCGATCACATGTTAGGCATGGCAGAAAGTCTGGCAAAAGTGTATAAAATGCTGTAAATCCAAGACACAGATTTAATACTTTGGTATTTTTGCTGGCATATGATTTTCACAATTATTTACACAGGACACAAACACCAGGCCATGTAAGCTGTTATTATACCAGATCACAAGAGAATTAGCCAGGAAATCTCAGACCTGAGAAATAAACAGAACAAAAGCTTAAAGGAACCTGCGATACATGGTCGCCCCCTTGTGGTTCATGAGTTGTATATGTTTGTTGAATTTCAACAATTTTCCTGGTATTTCCATTGATTACACAATACATGAAATTTTCAATTATAGAATATTAATATGGTGAAATATATTATTACAGTTTAAAATACCAGTTTTTCTATTTACATTTTAAAATACATTTTATGCCTGGGATTTCAAACCTAAATTTATTACCAGCATTTATTCAAGTCTTCAGTGTCACATAATCCTTCAGAAATCAATTCCTTTTTAATTATACATTATATTTTTGTAGAAAGCACAAAATGATTCTTTGTTGCTTAAACTCAAACCACAATTAGGAGAGTTTTTTTTTTGTTGTAATTTTTGTAATTTTGTGCTCTGAGTTGATATCTTAAATGTGAACACTTCTCTGTTATCATGCAGGTTTAATACATTGGTTTTTACATTCATTTGCTTCAATTATGTTTAGAAATGTGTTGAAAAAAAATCTTCTCTAAAAAAATAAACAGGGGGGCTAATAATTCTGACTTCATCTGTATGTGTAACATAAGCTTTCGTTTACTCATTCATGCCGTGCCTGTGTGTTTTAGGCTTGTGGAACCTAGTCTTCTTATTCTCCAATCTCTCCCTGGTGTTCCTCATGCCATTTGCCTACTTTTTTACTGAATCAGAAGGATTTGCTGGGTCCAAAAAGGTAAAGTTTTTATCCTTATTTTATTTTATCTCTATGCAATCGGAATTCAATTAGTGTTTGATGTGAATTTGATTTGTGTGATTTTTTTCTGAAAGGGTGTGATGGCACGGGTGTATGAGACTGCTGTGATGCTGCTGCTTCTTAGTCTGTTGGTGCTCGGCATTGTGTGGGTGGCATCAGCCCTTCTCCATCATAACACAGCCCGAGAGAGTCTTTACGGTGAGGGCTGCAATGAAATGTTAGATACTCATGTATATCCTGACAAGTTTAAGATAAATCTACAGGTTTAGTAACAGACTGCTGCTTTCCTGTTTTTTTTTTTTTTTTCAGACCTGTGGGAATATTATCTGCCCTATCTTTATTCTGGAATCTCCCTTTTTGGAGTTCTTCTGCTCTTGTGTAAGTGTGTATTTGTTCGTATGTTGGTCTTGGATTGTAGTTTTTAACTCATTTGACGTTTAATGTTCAGTCTGGTGTTTTATTGCATTTGACTTCCTGTTTATGTTGATTTGTTGCATCTCATCTCCTTTTTTGTTTTGTTTTGTAACAGTGTGCACACCCTTTGGGCTATCACGCATGTTTAGTGTCACTGGGAGCTTATTGGTCAAACCTCGGGTAGGTGGATACTTGTCAAAACTAAGGAATTGCTTCACAATCAAAGAGGCCTCTATGTTCCTTAAACTTTTTCTCCTAAAATGAGTGTTTCCCTTTCATGGCAGTTAATATACGTTATTTTTATTGCTTTTAATATGAAATAAGTAAACATTAATATAGGAGTCTGAGAAAAATGCTCATGTTAGAAGAGATTTTCAGATGGCACTGAGAGGTCTTAGCATCTGAACTCTTCATATATGTTGTATGTATATGTTGGATGTGTATGTTTTTGGCAATATGGGTCAAAATAATAAATTTTTATTGTGTCATGATTCAATATATTAATATGTATAGGACATATTACACAGATATTTTGTAAATTTCCTACTGTAAATATATCGAAACGTTTGTTTAGTAATGTGCATTGCTAAGCAATTCATTTAGATAACTTTAACCCTTTAAAATTTTGGATTGCATTTCTTAACTCCTAATGTCACTAGTTAACACACTCAATGCATTATTTTTTCAACACATGCCATAATTTTTTAAAATATCAACCTCTACCAAATGGTTGACATAAAAGTACCAAAATTAATACATATACTATAAAAAATCTGAAAATATTAAATGTAAGAATTTAAAAATACTTTTATTGTTTCAGACAAATGTGATACAAACTGTGCTAGTTACCAAATACCAATCAAATTACACCCACCCCATCCCGACAGAGCCATAAACATATATATACACATGCAAAAAAAAAAACTAAAATGATAATAAAAATTATAATAAAAAGAAAAAAAACATTAAGGCAATGACAGTTCAGCACACATATATATTTTAAAGAAAGTGAAAAATATATTAAAGTTAGTCATAAGAAACACAGTGCACATTAACAAAGTCGCATTGTTTGGGTTTACTAAACGATCAGTCCATTCTTATCTAAATAGTCCCAAATCTTGTAAAATATGTGCATTTTTTTGTTTGATTGAGTTAGTCAGTCTTTCCATTGCTATACAAAAGACATTTCCTTAATCCAGAGTGAAAACTAAACATTTCTGAATACTTAATCATCTTGTTTTTTTGTTTTGTTTTTTGTTTTGTACAATAACACCAAAATCGGTGTGGTAGTGCAACAGGACAATGCTGTGTAGTGTAAACCATTTATTAAAACAGTCATTCTTTAAATGATCTTAACAGTCATTATTTAAAGCAGTCAAAATATGTTTTATATATATATTTTGAACCCTCAAATTTCAGATTTTCAAATAGTTGCATCTCGGATAAATATTGCTCTTTCGTAACAAACCATACATCAATGGGAATCTTATTTGTTAACAAAATTTCACATACAGGAGGACTGGTCCAGGGACACATATTGTAATGGAAATACTTTTTTTTGTAATGACAGATGCATATTTAGCATCATTATAACAGTCTTGCATGTCACACAACCCTTCAGAAATGAAATTAATATGCTTATTTGCTCACAAAGAATGATTTGAAATGCTTATTTTTTTGTGTGAACTGCGGTTCATAGTTTGGTTTTAGGATTATTGATCAAAATAAAGTTGAAAGTATTTTTTTATTATTTTGATGCACATTTGTTGTATAAAAGCGTTAATGTTTTTTTTTTTAATCAAAAAAATCTGTTTAAAGATAAGAAGTGAGGTTAAGTTTAGTGTTTGTTTTTCAGTTGTTGGAGAACTTGGAAGAGACCATGAACTGTGCAGTGTTTGAAGAGGCCTCTCTGTCCAGGAAGTTAAAAAGTGAGTGTCAGGATATGAGACAATCATGCTTGCTGCATTTAAGGAAGTGGCCCCCCATTATAGGGATTCATAGCTGTCATTTTCCAATTAATTTTTACCAACAAACTTGCTAATACATGGGTTCCTAAACTCTAATACACTCTCTCTATCACACACCCCCAGGTACCAACACCTGCTGGATCAGTGCGCATTTAGAGGCCCTCAACAAAGAGTTTTTGAGTGTCCAATCCAAGCGCATTACTTTGGGTACGAGCATGCCTGTCAAACACATCTGTGTAACTATCTGGAAACTTTCTCTTCATCCTTTTTATTCCTCAATTCTAGAGCTGCGGAAAAGAGCATCTCCTTGGCAGAGAAACCTAGTATACCCAGTGGCCATGCTGCTGCTTTTAGCTTTAACTGTAAGTACAAAACCTGCTGAGTACAAAAATATACTGTCTGCAGTAAAACAGTTGCTCTAAATGAGGGAAAATGGTCTTTCTTAGGCGGTGAGTGTGCTGATGGTGTGTTTCCATGTGCTCGAACTGCTCTTCGATGAATCTGCTATGCCTAGAGGGATGGAGGTACGTGATTTGATTTATATTATTATTACATAGCATTCCTACATTGACCTGTAAACTCATGTCCAAACATTTGATTATAACTATATTCAGGATTTTTTAATCCTCCGTTTTTCTTCTGATCATGTTGCTCTTTTGCAGTAATATTTGATCATAATTTCAGTCACACTTTATTTTAAGGTACAATTCACGCTATTGATAAACTATTAACTAAGACTTTTAGCCCAACCAAGTACTAATATTTGCTGCTTATTAATAGCTTAGTAGTAGTTGGGTTTTAGGCATTGGGTACAATTAGGGATGTATAATAGAATCATACTTAATAGCTACTAATAAAGAGCCAATATTTTATTAAGCCAGTGGTTAATAGTGGGAATTGGTGCTTAAACTAAAGTGTTACCAAAAAATCATAACGGCCGATTTCCTCTGTCATAGGACCCTCATTTAGGCCTTGCCTCCTTCTCAATGCTGGGTTCTCTGGGAGCTGCGGTGCAGGTTGTCATCATTCTGTATCTCATGGTGTCTTCAGTCGTGGGCTTCTACAGTTCTCCACTCTTCACCGGTTTACTGCCACGTGCACAGGACACAACCCTCACACAGGTACAGATCTATCAAATCAATCTGAAAACTGCTGTTTAGACCGCTGGGTTTCTCATCTTCACATGCTACATTACATAGACAACTTGTTTTATTTTTTTACTGTTTAGCACTGGTCTATGCTCTGTTTTAATGTACTATTGAAATAAATAAATGTTTATGTCTCCACAGATAATCGGGAACTGTGTTTCACTTTTAATACTCAGTTCTGCACTGCCTGTTTTCTCTCGCACATTGGGTAAGTCCATTTTTGGTCTTTGTTAAAAAGCTTTTAGAAAGGAAATGTATGTGTTTGTAATAATAGCCTGATTTGTTTGATTTAAAGATTTTATACCAAAAATTACATATACCAAAAATTAGTAATTACTGTACTTATTTTAGGGGAAATTTTTGCTCAGCATACAGCATTCTTATTGCTGGTTGAAAGTGTTTTACATGTGTGTTTTTTTGTTTTTGTTTTTTTTTTTTACAAATATCTTTACATGACTATTTTAATTATGTTGTCTGTCCACAAGGGGGCACTAGTTAGTAATAGGTACCACTGTTAATGATAATTTTAAAACCACTTCTCTTTTAAAATGTAATGACATGTAGGAATCACAAAGTTTGACCTGCTTGGAGATTTTGGGCGGCATGACTGGCTTGGCAGTTTCCACATTGTGTTCCTGTACAATATGCTTTTTGCTGGACTCACATCTGCCTGCCTCATCAACACAGTCACATGGGCCTTGCAAAGAGAGCTCATCCGTGCCTTTGGTAAGCTGCTTATTTTTTATTATCATTATTGTTCATGTGTTTCATGTACATAATGAATTAATTTCGAATTTCTACATAATAAATTCATTCAAATCTATGTAGTCATGCAGATTTGTGTTTGTGTGTGTTTAACTTTTCGGTCACACCTTATTTTGATGATCCATTTGTTGAATTTAAGTTACATTGCATCTACATGTCAGCTAATTCTCATTAGATTATAAGTAGACTGTTAGGTTAGGGCTAGGTGTTAAGTGGTAGTGTAAGTTGACATGTACTTGCAAAGTTTCTTATAGTCAGTGAAATGTGTTGAAGGAGCAGTATCAGCAGATATTAAGCAGACAGTCTACTAATACACAAGTGGACCATCAAAATAAAGTGTTACCAACTTTTCCATAGCTCTATGTACACAGAAAGAGGTTCACAGATATAATGTATACATGATGCATGTAGATATATTGATTATATGCAAAAATATACACATTTATATACAATTAAAATACATGTATAAAATACAGATCTTTATTTATTCATTTTAACCAGTGGCATATAAATAGATTTAAATATACATATTTTTTATTCTTAACAATAGTGTAAAATATTAATATATAAATGTTAACAAAATGTATGATGCCCTTTAATTTTGTTTAGGCCAGTTTCATTAGTTTGTCTTTTTTAATGTTTTCGTTTAACCACAATTCAAAAACAATTTTTTGTTTTTTCACAAATTTTTTATTCATTATTACGTTTTTTTCTGTTTTGAAGGTGTTGCATGTAAGTTTTTAAGTCTCCCAAAGCATAAAAATACCATAATATGTTTGCAGATATTTAAGAAACATGCCAAGTAAACATGCAAATTTTGCAAAACAATACTGAAGTCTGATATGCTGCTTTAAAAATGTGTTTTATGTGCCGAAAGGATGTCTATGTTTTGGTTCTTTTAACCTGCCCACTGCCACTTTAGCCAATTATACTTCTGCACCCTGGGTTGCCTTAATGCAAAACCACATATTTCATTTATTCATTTGCTTGCTCGCTCATTCATTCATTCATTCAAAAAGGCTCTCAAAGCATGTGTTCGTGACCAAAATGCGACCTCTGGTGGACAGTAGCAGACTCCGAAATGAGACGAAGATTCAAAGTTCCTTGCGAGGTGGTTATTTATTAGCAAATAATATAAATATTATAAGCGTAAACATTAGGTGTGCAGGTTGTTACCCTGTGTCCTAACACTACGATAAGTAATGAGATTTGAAGTGATAAGCAATTGGGGTGTTTGAAACGCAACAGATGAAACGCAACAGATATTTATAATCACTTTTTTATCAATTTTGTAAGGTTTATAATCTAATAAACACATATTAAACCTCTTCAACATTATTACATTTACATTCTGAATCACTGATATGTGTTGGCTTGCATTATTTCACACTTCTAAAGTTCAGTTTTTAAACAGTTTATTTTATTTTCAAGATCGGAGGTAAACCATTTGCTGCTGCTTTCAGTTGTATGACAATAAATGTCATGTAAAATGGTGTTCAAACTCACATTATTAGCATTTAACACTAAATCAAGCACATGATGTGTACCTGAGGTGATCATCGTCAGTTTTCTGTTGTTCACCTTTGAGAAATAAAAGCCGTTTCTAATATATCAATTCCAGGTGTTGGTTAGAACAAAAACTCCTTTTATCATTTTTACTTTAGAGCAGAACTTAAGCCAGACTCACTCCTCAATCTGGCAATCTGCGCTTGCATTTGTGTTGATCCAGGAATGTAATACCTAGTTCAACCACTAGGTGTCAAATTTACATACTGCACCTTTAAGTAATTTCAGTGACCACTGCAGTTTTTCTTTCTTTAGTTGAACACTACCAACAATTTTCTCCACATCTGTATATACATCAAATTTGTATATTTGTGTGTGAGTGTGTGTTTATGTACATTCACAGTAATACTTAATTTAATGTCTTACAGATATACTATTTTTTCAACATTACAACCCAAGCTATACCAAACCCAGAACATTCCTTTTGTATTGGTCAATTCTAACATTTATCTGAAGGAAAGCATGTGATTAGAAAGATTTGTGCTTGTACGCATTGTATCTAGAAAGGACAGGCGTGTGCGCTGTGCCATTTGCCAGTGTTTGTAGTGGGTCTGTGGGTGAGGTTTTTCTCGCACAGGCCATGTTTCTCTATGGGTAGGTCTCTTTCCTCAGATAGAAAAAGCACAATTCTCTCAGGAAAGCGAGAGGGGACAGAAGGGGAGAAGGGGGTTCCTTGGGGACCTCAGGGCGTCAAACTCCTCCTGGAAGACACACACCCATCGCCCTCCGCCAAACACAAACAGCACTCTCTAACCCACACACACTCGCTCGCACAGACCATCTTCAGATAGCATGTTTTTTTTCTGTGGCTTTTGTTCTGTGATTGATTGGTTTGGTTTCAACTCAAACATGGCCTGCCAAAATTACCCTTTCTGCCTGTTAGAGCAAGGTTATCCCTCTAATGTTGTTTACTCTACTCTTTCCTTTTCTCCAGGTCTCCACAGACTCCCTCTGACTGTGTCTCGTTCAACAATCCCTCTCAAACTTCTCCTAGCCAACGGCCTCTCAAAGATTCATTGAAAAGCTAATATTATTGGCTAGCAATGCCCTTTTCTGTCTGGAGAAGGGTCAGGATCCCAGTCTGGGGCCTACTATTGGACCAGAGCATTCATTATTGGTAAATGCTCACCAAAGCTGTTTACAAAGGTTACCTGACTGATTTATATTGATGGATTCTGAAGCGACAGTTTTATACGTTGTTTACTGCGATAATATTTATTCATATTACTGCTTTTTTAATACAAAAAGGGATGTCAAATCACTGGACGCCTCAAACAACCACCTTATAAAAAAAATGAACAATGGTTTCAGAGGACTTTGACATGCGTCCAGACAGGAGAGCTATTTTAGAGGATGACATCACAGCCATGAGCGCGTTTCCTTTTCCTGGTGGTGGAATGAGAGTGTTGAGTTCTGTCCTGGTGGCCCCCCTACGCTTTCCCCTGGTATACCACTATTTTTAGTGTCATCTAACAAACCCTATGCTGTGGGTGCTCATTGCACTGGCAGAGGAAGTCCAGTCTGGCTGGCTTCTAACTGAAGAACCTGACAAAAGGGATGAAAGTGATGTTGGAGACAAATAGTTCAACATAACTTTTTTATATAAAGTTAGGTTGTAAAATGTATGTTTAAAAAAAAAAAAAAAGTCTGACAATGATTTCAAGGTTTAGGCCAAGAAAACTGTGAATGTGTTTCGGGATTTTTGTTCCCATTTTTAGTTTTTTCATATGTGACTCTTTAATGTGCAATATTATATTGTGAACGTTTTATGTACAGTTATGCAAATCTGACTTGACTGCCTTCCAAAACTGGACCCTGCAGCCTTCCAGATCTAGTATCTAGATCATAGGTCTTAAATTGGATTCCTGGAGGGCCACAGCTCTGCACAGTTTTATTCCATGAATCAAACACGGCTGATCCAACTAATGAAGATGTTCATGACTCCTTTGAACACCTCAATTAGTTGGATCGGCTGTGTTTGATTAGGGTTGGAGCAAAACTGTGCAGAGCTACGGCCCTCCAGGAATCAAGTTTGAGACTTACGATCTAGATCAGGGGTCACCAATCTCGGTCCTGGAGGGCCGGTGTCCCTGCAGGGTTTAGCTCCAACTTGCCTCAGCACACCAGCCTGGATGTTTCAAGTATACCTAGTAAGAACTTGATTAGCTCATTTAGGTGTGTTTGATTAGGGTTGGAGCTAAAATCTGCAGGACACCGGCCCTCCAGGAATAAGTTTGGTGACCCCTGATCTAGATGAAGCAATAAGGTCAAAGATTGGTTATTTCATAAGTTTTTAGGTTGAACTCTGTGAATAGACAATCAACGCACATGATAATTTCCTGTTTCATAGAGACCACAGGAGCTGTAATTGATAAATGTGGATTTTTTTAAAAATCGGAGGTCACTCTTTATTTTGATGGTCCATTTGTTGAATATAAGTTACATTGTATCTACATGCCAATTAATTCTCATTAGATTATAAGTAGACTGTTGGGTTGATGTTAGGGTTAGGGTTGAGTTAGTGTAAGTTGACATGTACTTGCAAAGTTGTCTGTTGAAGGAGCAGTATCAACAGATATTAGGCAGACAGTCTACTAATATTCCAATGGATCATCAAAATAAAGTGTTACCAAATCTGATAACCGCTCATTTTATATCAGGGGTGTCTAAACTCAGTTCTTGAGGGCCATTGTCCTGCAGATTTTAGCTCCAACTTGCCTCAACACACCTGCACATGTTTCTAGAAAGCCTAGTAAGAGCTTGATTAGCTAGCCCAGGTGTGTCTGATTAAGGTTGGTACTAAACTTTCCAGGACACCGGCCCTCCAGAGCTGAGTTTGGACACCCCTGTTTTATATGGTGCAGTATTTATGATGTACTTCTATTTTTTTTTATGATGATGATAACACTGTTTATTCTTTTGTATGATTCCGTTATTTATACATTTTAGGTGTATGTCCTACATGTGGTGGCCAGTAGAGGACAGTGTGCCACAAATCCATCAATACAAAGGTTATTGCTCAACCATATTTTCATAATATTATCGCTGCTTCAGTCATAGATATATTTTTCCTCACTGTTATCTAGCTTAAAGTCAAATGTGGATGTAATTCATTGCTTAAAATGTGAAAATTATGCCCACATGTTGTTCCAAACCTGTACGATTTCCTCATGTGTAGGCTAATACAAAGGAAGAAAGTCTGAGGAATGTTTTATATGCTTTGGGGTCCGAACTAGCGTTCATAAAGGTTTGGTACAACATGAGACTGTGTCTTTTTCCATTCTTACAAAATTCATTTGCATTTTGCATTTGCAATTCAGCTCTGAAAAATTGATGAATGATTATACCATATTAGTGCATAATGTATGGATGTTTTTGTACTACATTGTTAATGGAAAACTCTTTTGGGGAACAAAGAAAATAGCAAACAACTAATGTTTAGAAAACGAAATTAACATTTTAATTGTTTGTTTAAAACCTGTATTCCTTAAAGCAAAGATAGCGACTCTGTGACAAACTGTTCTTCCTCACTTCCTTTATATGAGGTGAAAAGGACAATAAAAGTGTTTACACTTGTTTTTCCAACCAGTGTGTCGTTTGTGATTCATTTAAACCCCATTTTTGGTCCTGGATCTGCTAAGGACCTTTCCGTGGAGGTCAGCACACATTTCTTGGTGTCTGAGCACCTGACCGCTGCTTTAATGGTGCCGTGGTGGTTATGTTTAGCTCTGGTGTTGTTAGTGTGCTAGTCTGTGTCCATACATCTTCCCCCAGCTGTCCCCTCCGCCTGTAGCTGTCCGGCTTTAATCAGGGTCTTTATTTTGCCCCGGGTCTGTCAGCAAGCCCATAGACGCCGCTGCTGACCCGTCCTGTGCTTTCCCTTCACGGATGCCCCTGGCAGATAAAAGACCTTCATCATCTGGAGACTGCAAGCTTCTCGCTTTCTCTCTTTCACCCCCTCCCACCTCTGTATCGTCCATCCTTTTTCCTTGTTGAGTGTTCATTTCCCTTTCCTTTTTTCATTTCTCCTAAAGCAGAAAAAGAAATCCCGGCTTCTGATTATGGTTTGTCTGTCTTGATTTTTTTGTTTTTTCTTTGTTGAATGTCCTGACAGACCTAAATTAAAGGATTTGTTTATCCTTGAATTTCCTTTGCTAAAACAGCAGAGTTTAACGATATTTAGACAGCAGGTTTGTTTAGCTTGATTAGTGAAGTAAATGTTGAAATAACATAAAATTATATATAAAAAAATTATAATTGTTATAAAATTATTTTTGAATGAATGTCTTGAATGTTATATGCACAAGCAACTGTTTTCTTTATTTTTCCCCATGTATTCATATCACTTAAGCATTAATCTTTTTAGAGCATACTGTTCTTCCTTTCATACTTTCATCTTTTTAACTTGAGTGTTGGAGGTTTATGTTACCTGCATGAAGTAAGTTATCTAATATAAACCCATCCAAGTAACCTATTTTGCTCATGAGTTTTATTGTAGATAATGTATGCAAAATTACAATTTTACACGACCCGCAGAGATGTAATGTTTTGTATTTTGATGCTGTGATGTAAATGAAAACACAGCCAGTAATTAATATCAACCTCTGCATAACATAAAATGTTTAATTGTCAGATTGTTTAAAGCGTTTTTCTGTTCTTTCACAGAAAAATAATAATAAGAGCTGCGTTATATGACACCATTATTAAATGTGCATTTTATACATTTAAGTCTATGTGTTTGTTAATTTATTACAAACATATGCAGCAATTTCACAATAAAAATACAGTTAAACATTCTTTATACCTCTTCTGGGTGGAGCTGAATAAATTTACAATCTGTATATCCTGCATTTTGTGTCCTGGTCATGATGGCTCATGGAGTCTTAGCCAGGGTACGAATTACAGGGGGGTTTTGGGATAATTACAAATTATTAAATATATAAATACATTTGATCCCCCTATGATGCTTTATACCATTGTGAATGCATAATCACGCCAATCAATACTAGAAAAACATAATTCAACAGTCTGAAACTGGCAGTTCTACCAAACTACTACCGAAAAAGGTAACCCCCGATTCGCAAACCGGTCGTAACGTCTAAATGCAATCTAGTATGGCCGTCTGTTTGCTCTCTACTTTTTTTTCAAAATAAAAGTCCCACGTGCATAGTAAGTTAACAGCCTGTTGTTTGCATATTAATGATCTCTTGTTCAACATATCAACGGCTGCTGAACTTTTAATGATGCAGCTGCTTGTCAGGTCCGAATGAAGTAGAATGTGACCTACATCAGGTAGCTACATCTAAATGCTGAGGCTGTGCCGTGAACAACTCACATCTGCATTGTGTTCTGATTTCCCTGTTGTCCATCGAGGCTCGTAACTTACATGAGAACAAGGAAACAAGGGGGTTTGAGGCAATTCCATTTCTATATACCACAGGTGTCAAACTCAGTTCATGGAGGGCTGCACAGTTTAGTTCCAACCCTAAACATACCTGATTAATCTAATAAAGTCCTTCAGGCTTGTTTGAAACCTACAGATAAGTGTTGGAGCAGGTTGAAACTAAACTGCAGGTCTGCAGCCCTCCAGGAGTTTGTGACCCCTGGTACATACTGATCACTTATTATTTGACCATGCCTAGGAATACCTTAATTTTCTCTATAGGGCACCTTTAAATAAATTTGGGTGGAGGTCTGTCACTCGTGTTGATCAGCAGAGGGCATTTGATTGGTTCACATACTCCATCATGTTGGACAAGAGGAAGACGGGCAGTCTTTCACAGGTTGTGATAGGCTATCATTATTGTCAAAACACAAGAATGAAGGGGGGAAATAAGCAGATTAGCTTTCCTGTCGGTTGTTTGAAGTGTGCGCCAAAGTGCATTAGAAGATATTATTCCTTGTGGAAAATAAAAAACTCACGGCCGGAAAAGACTTCCTAATCAACTGATAATGGGCCGCGCTGCCCGCCTGCAAAGGCACATCCACACCCACCTCACACACTCACGACACACTCCTTTCACACACTCAAGGGTCTCTCACACACCTCAGAATACTTCATTATATAATATATTTTTTTAAATGAATAATTTCTTATGCAAGTAAATACAAACGCTCAATAGTTAAGAATAATAATGTAGTTAATAAAAACACTCTAATCGCTTTTAAACCACGTGACCACTTGTCGGAACCACTGTTTCAGTAAGTCCCATATTGAGCTTGGTCTCCATACTATTATAAACTGAGAGATGTGAAAACACTAGTTGTAACAGCACTTTGGTAAGTTAATGCTAATTATAATGCATGTTGACAATTATAATGACTCTTTCACAGTACACAAATGATACCCAAAGCTTCAGTAGGCTATTTTGCAAAGCTTTGTTCAGATGTTGAAAATACAAAATTACTTACATTTTGAAACTTTTTTTACCAGTTGCTTTAGACAGTTTGCCAATTACATCAACATTTTGGCTCTGGCTACAAAAACAACTCAGAACAAATAGTTTTACAGTTGGTCAGTTTTTGATCAGTTACTCATATATGCATAGTCATAATGGTGAAACGCTGATGTAAACAACAAATATGGAAGCACAGTCATGTATTAATCAATATGTGTTCTGTCTATTTACGCTGTTTAAACCACTG